GAAGGAGTGATCCTGGGGGGTGGGGTGGGGTGGGGTGGGGAGGGTAAGTACCCTTTGCCAATATGCTAACCCTCTGAACCTGCATCAAGGGAGAACAAAGGGGGAGGGGGGCAGCCAGGGAGCCAGGCTGTCTGCGCCTTGTCTTACAGAGTGTAAACGTTCCAAGTTCTGAAAAGCCTGCCTCCAGTGCTCCTTGAAAGAGCTGAAGAAGTCACACCCTTTGAGACTCTCATTTGCAGTCTTCAGCCTATTCCAACTGACACGACAGAAATGCAGAACTGAAGACCAAAGCTTTTCAGGTCCCAAGGCAATAGATCATATTAGTATTAAACTAATTAAAATTGTAACCACTACCATGTTTACTTTCTAGCGGATAAAATGATTTTTCTGTCCATTTCCCAGTATAAGAAAAACTTCTAAGCTTGGATCCACTCTGTGGGGAGTACAGGTGTGTGTTCTACAAGCTAAAGACACTTGGAACTAGATGTTACCAGAATCAGCTAGAACATCTGCTGGGCAAGTCAGGGGAGCACGGACACCCAGTCCTAAACATGTGCTTCCTACTTGTCTCCATCTGGCTCGAGGATGACTCAATTGACCCACCTCTAGCTAGCTCTTGAGCAAAGAATAGCATCTCCTGGGTCTGGATAAGCTGCAAAGATGGGTAAACTATTTTTCTAAGCTTCCCTTAAATTGTGAGATGTGAACAGTTCACCCTGTCTTAGGAGACAGTAAGTTCCAGCTTATCAAAACAAAGCTGTTTTCTTCAAGGTCGAGCTGTGCCATTAACCACAGGGAGGCCGGTGACTGGCCACAGTCCCTAAAGATCCAAACTGAGACATGTGCCAAATTGGCACTAGGTTCAGTGGTGTTTTTTTTCTTTTTTTTTTTTTTAATATGAAATTTATTGTCAAATTGGTTTCCAACCAATTTGCTCATCCTAACAGGTGCCCTCCTCAATATCCCTCACCTACCCTCCCTCCCTCCCACTCCCCATCAACTCTCAGTTTATTCTCAGTTTTTAAGAGTCTCTTATGTTTTGGCCCCCTCCCTAACCTTTTTTTTTTTTTCCTTTCCCCTCCTCCATGGTCTTCTGTTCAGTTTCTCAGGATCCACACAGGAGTGAAAACATATGGTATCTGTCTTTCTCTGTATGACTTATTTCACTTAGCATAACACTCTCCAGTTCCATCCACGTTGCTACAAAAGGCCATATTTCATTCTTTCTCATTGCCATGTAGTATTCCACATTGGTGTTTTTTTATTTTCTTCTAATGGCAGAGAGAAGGAACTGACTGATCGCAGTATCTGCCTAGTAAAACCAACCCCCAGAGTGAAAATAAACAGGGGCATTACTCTTGGGAACCAAGGAATGCAGCACCTCTCACCTTAGCTTGAACACGTGTTTCTTCTTCTTGTAATCAAGGGCCACTTCACAGATGGCTTCTTTCAAACTCACAGGGACCTCGCTGTGGTAGGGAATTCCAGAGGCAGCGGTCTTTGCATCTTTGTAGAAACCCATTTCTTGGTTATTTATGACACAATAAACATTGTGCCAGGACCTGAGCAGTAAAGAAAGAAACGTCAAGGTTCTAGACCACACTTCCTTAAAGAATTAAGAATTTGATTAACATGAAAACAATCCACACACAATGTGATGTGACCCACTGTTAAAAGCCTTTCCTAAATTCTGCTAAAACTGAACCATGGAACAAAATTCCTCCATGGGCCACTGGGACAGTGTACATGTTGGTACAGTGGTAGGTGTTTCTCAGAGTCTGGGGAAAAACACGGTACCCTCTTCTATTAAAAAAATACTCTTGGCTCTGATGGTAAAGATTTTTTGCTGGTGTGGATACTCTCTGCTGTACTATCCTCTTGTGGTGATGCTGTACAGGGAAGGCTTCTCATTTGAAACATGCCTGTCCTTAAGCAGCTCCTCCAGGACCTCAGCTTTAATCCTGATGTGGCCTGGCGATGTGACAGGGAGGCAAATCCAGAGCCATTAGCACATGTGGAAACTCGGGATGAATCAGAAAAGGATGGCCTTTCCCGCCACGATATGGCAAACTGTCACGATTTACTCATTTTATCAGAAGTTACTTTACTGCCACCTACCTATATTAACATATAAATTTATGTTGTACTCAATGTGGATGGCAGCTTAGATGGGATTTCCTGGTCTAATGTTTGACCTATACAACTGTAAAAGGTGGTCTCAGGCAGAATGGTTTACTGGTTAAGCACACTGGCTTTGGAGTCAGATAGGAATTTCACCCCAGCTAATGCCATTTACCAGGTTTCTAAAGAGTGGGCTTTTTTAAACACACAGAACCTCCATTTCCTTATCCGTAAAATAATAAAAGTAGGGTTTATTGGGCGATAGTGAATATAAACACCGACAGGGAGATATATCTGGGGAAATGAATGTCTTAAGAAAAATCTCACAAGAAAGAACACTTCACTTTAAGGAAGATTCCCCAGCCTCCATGTAGCACATTCCTTCTCAGGAAGTACTAGGAAGGCCCCTTTTTTGCAATTCTTATGCACACTTAACTAACCTTCTTTCTGTGAATAAGAAGCACTTATTATTATTAAGTGAGTAATAAGCACTCTACTCCCAACTTCCAATGTCAGCCCTAAGAAAAACGTGACGCCCAGGAAGCCAAGAACAAATGGACTTCACAAGCAACCCCCTGTCCCCCCAATTCAACACGCAAGCGGATGCCTCTTTCTTTAATGGGCTGATTTCCCATCTTACTGCCTTAGCCTTTGCTGCTGTTACCTGCTTGAGGCTTTCTTATTGTGAGCCTCCCACTCATGCTTCCGATTCAGGAAGCCTTCCATCTGGGCCGAAGGCGTCTCCTGGGTTCTGGCCGGCAAGGTGGCGGCACTCTGGGCCGGGAGGGCAGTCTTGGCTTTGCGGTCGGACGTGGGGGAGGGGATGGGGCTAGACTCCTTTGAGCTTGTTCTTTGCTCTGCGGCGCCGTTGACCATTTCGCTTGTGTCCACCGCTTCTGCCATCTAGGGACAGCGGAGAGGCCATTCAGCTAACCCCGTGAGCCACAGGGGCGACCACATACGCTCTGACTCGCACACGTGGCTGTGTATAAATGCCTGGCACAGATCGAGGCAGTACAGTAAAACCATTGCAACATCCCACAAAGCCAGCTGGACACCAAGGACATTAGAAGGTGGGAAGGGATTAATGCCTGCCCGCTTATGGGAAGATGAGAAAAGCGAAATGCCAGGATGAGTTTTACTGCACTCTGCTCCTCTGATCAATCCATTTTCTCTAATGGAACTCAGATCATTTCCTCTTGTGGTTACTTTAAAACAAAAGGACAACAGGAACAATCACACATATTAAATATGAGAGAGTGGACGTTATACAGCAGCCACCTTACAACCAAGGACGTCACCAGAAGAGCTGGAAGTTGAAGCGAAAGGGCATTCACAAACAGGTCGACAGACAACTCTATCAGAACTACACAGCATTCCCCCAGAGTAAGACAAGGAAAGACCTCCGGTTTCTGAAAATGCTCTCTGACTCTCCTCCCCCACCCCTCAACACATCATCATAAACACATGCAGAAATTAGGATGACAATCATGCATTTCACATCTACCATCCCAGTTAGATTTTGGAACTTAAGAGCTGGAAGGAAATGAGGCAAGTCAACAAACATCAATTTAACCACATCTGCCGGAGTTGTATCGTGAGTGGGTTGTAGTTTGTGTTAAAGGAGCTGGAAAAGCCAATCACAGTCACTCAACACCACACGGCTATTTACCCCCAAACACAGACAGAACCAGGGCCTTCCCCATCACGTGTTGGTTGATCACGGTGCCTTGCTGCACTGAGACGAGAAAGCCCAGACACAGCCAGGCTTCCCGCGGCTCTGACCGGCAGGCTGGAGACGTCTTCGGGAGCTGTTCCTTCCCAAGCTCATTTATATTGTAACCCTCAGGGCTTTTCGGCTTTGGAAATGCAGTAGGGTCTCGGTTCATTATCGCTTTCAGCCTGTGTACCATCAACTGTGTACCATTAACTGTCGCGGCCCCCGGCGGGTACACCCAGGGCATGGGATTAGCAAGTTACTAAAGCTGGGTGTGGCTGACGCTTTAGTGGATTACAGACAACCTGCACCCCTTGTACACGGACAAACATGGAGGTGTCAATGGCAACGTTCATTAGATACGTCCCCCACCACTGCTGCCCAGAACCAAAATGACAAGTTAGCAGCAACAACCTCAGCAGGATAAATGGTAGAACGACCACCACTGCCTTCAACACTCAGATATGTCAACTCTCAGGAACTGGATTGCTCATTCAGGTCTTCTATCTACGTGGCTGGGTGGGAGTCAGGAGTTTCTATTCCACATACACAAACTATCACTGCCACCATCAGGGTTTAGGGTGAGACGAGAGGCTTTGCAATTTAAGGGTGTTTGTGACCGGAACCCTTTACCCACAAAGCAATGTGGAAAATGGAGTCTTAGGGCAGGAAGACACAGGGAGAGGGGGTGTACGTGTGATTATCCTGGTCTCGTGACACCCTGTAGACGCGTGCTTATGAGCGACAGGCTATTTAAATATTTCTCTTTTCTTTCACTTTTAAAGGAGAGATGCAGGAAGAGAAATAACAACCAAAAAACAAAACCCTGAGTCCAAAGAAAGTGAATGGATTTTGAAGTTGACAAATCTGTTCTAGTGTGGAATTTCAGGAGACTTCTGATGGGAAGGAAGTGTGAGTTTGGTCTGAAAGGCCTGTGCCAGGTGAGTCCAGGGAAACATAAGGTTAGTGTGTATAGAAACCAGGTTAAAAAAAATTAGTGCTGCAGCTGTGACTTAAAAACTGCTAGTGACAGCAGTGACCTGGACGGAGTAGCATTTGCTGAAAAAAGGCTAACATTTATAGCATTTGGTCAGACTTCAAGGTAGGTGAAGGCCAGGGAAGCCTCTTCTGGGGGAAATTCTGCAGCAAAAATTTTTTTCTTTAGAGTTAGAAGGAAAGAGAAAACCCCAAACCAGTATGCAGAGATAATTAATGTTTATGCAAATGAATCACTAAACCAAGAAAACAAGGGAAATAAAAGGAACAAAATGAATTTTAATGGACATGTGCTGAAGCATGCCAACAGACAACACATCACTAGAGACAAACATCAAAAGCAAATCATAGCGCTATGACCATACATGTGACTCGCCCCCCCCCCCCCCCCCCCCCCGCTCCTCCCCCCCCATTGCTTCTCTTTAGCGATTAGTCCAGAGTGCTTTAGTGGCTGGGTACACCTGAGATCTTTAAATCAGGAGGTGAATGAGCATAAATGCAACGTGACAACTAGTAGCACAAGAAACACCTGATTGGTTTTCTAAGTGCATGAAGCAACACTATTTTCAAAGTTCATTAACTTGAGTCTCTGCACCACAACTCAAAAGAATGAAAAGGCTTTCCTTTTTCCATTATAATAAAAAATTTGTTCTGGCAAACTACAAATTTAAAAATCTAGATAAAAATAGGCATGAGAACAAATGCCAAAAACATCATAGCACTCCTTCTCTGTGCTTACGTGGTTTCTTTTTTTTTCCTTTTTTTGTCTTCTGAATACAAAAAAGCATAAAATTGGGTGTTATTCCAGATGATATAAAATTTAAACATATATATATATATGAAACATCACATATATACATATAGATCAATGACACACAGAATTTGGAGCCAGAAACACACATCAGGGCTCCCTAATGACCAAAAGATAAAGCAGTAGTTTTTTCTAAAATGAATTTTGGTGTGTTTAAGGCAGAGACCCAATAATGGTGCACACTACCCCCAGAACATAAGAAGCTTGGCATCTATCTATATACCCATCTACAGTTACAAGTAGATAGATATGTACATAGAAATAAGGAAAAACAAACAAGATGCTATATGATGTTATCCTGACAAAAGAAAAAAAAAAGACATGCATCATGAAATGAAAAGACAAATCAGACTTAACTCATGGAAAACACATATCAAAACAGGTTTCTCATTTCACTAACATCTAAATATGGCAAATGAGCAAGTGACTGTCTCACAAGGCTTTGATGTAGTATGGATTTGGTTCTGTTCTGTCTTTATCAGTACCAGGAAATCCCCTTTCATAAGCTTTTATTCCTAAGGAATAGAATTTATGTTAAAACATATTCAATCCCTGCTGGTGGTCTGATAAATGCCATCCTAAAAGACTCCTTATTGGAGAACTCCACAAAAGGTCGTGAGAAAATGAAAAATAAATGAGAAGATCCATATGAGACATACAACGAAATTTGTCTACACAGACACTAAAATTACTCCTGAAGCCAAGCGGTGTCCAACGGCTCCTAGGGGTGGTCCACCACATTCATGGTTCAAGTAATCAGGGTGAACCAGAAAGGCTTCTGTTCTGTTTGAAAAACTTAAACAGTCTGACACCCTGAAGTCATCAACTGAATGAAGAGGCCTGGAAGTCTGAGAGGCAGGCTTCCGAAACATGCTGAGAGCCGCTGCCACCCGCCACATTGGGCGTCACGGTGGTGCCGACAGTGATCAAGACGTGGGGGGTGCGGCAGAGGTCAAAAGGCACTTCACTCCTGAGGCTGGCTGCGTTATTTGCTGCAAGTAAGCCTAGAAGTCTCAATTCAGGTCTTGGCAGAAAAAAATGAGAGGAATTCATTTGGAAAAATAAATAACCCAAGGGTCTCAAAATCATTTCAGATTCTGCACCTAAAATTAATAGTGCTTCCCAAGTAGATCCAACCACACCCCCCTTTTCTTCCTTGCTCATTTTCAATGAATAAAGGCATCCTTCATGGAATGTGACACAGGTGACTTACAGTTTTAATCTTAGTACTAAGAGTCTCCTTCCTCTTATCCCAGTCTTCCTAGTTCCTATTCAACTATTGCAGGTTAATAACATCTGTAAAGGGGGCTCTGTGTAGTGCAGTATTGCACCCTGTTAGTATAACTGGATGTGTCATACCTGTCGGATTCTAGTTTTCTTCTTCATTTTGCTGTAATCTCATTTAATTTCAATTACTCATGTAAGGCTTTCGCTGTAAAATCTTAATAAAGTAAAAAGCTCACAATAAATAAACAAAAAATTAAGAATGTTGCTTTAAGGCAACTGAGCATCCATCATTAAAAGACCCAAATAAACATGAATTAAATGCAAACAAATACGAAACCAAGGAAGCCTACGAATTAAGGAAAATTTTAACACTGTGGGTGAAGTGGAAGCCAAAAGGTCAAACCAACAGGATTTGGAAAGAGTGGTTCTTGACAAATGGTAGTGAACTTCACAGTCCAGACCACGGCTGGTCACTGGCTGTCCGTCTGCTATTAAAGTTTTTGTAGTTTTGGTAGGTTTGAGAGCGGTAACTAACCCGTGGAGATCCCTGTTCAGTCGGCAAACCGTTCTGGGAAACTTGCTCTCCTTTTGAGGTATCCCTGTTAGGTAAAGTGGGGAAGGAGGACAGAGGAGGGAAGGGAGGGCGAGGGAGGAGAGGGAGAAAAACAGAGGATGAGAGAGAAGAACATCAGTCAACTTTATTATAGATTTTCTCTTAGAAAAACATACGCAACCCCCTTTTACATAACGTAATTTCTTTTTAAGAACTTCCCAAGTGTTCCAAACCAACTCTAGGTAGAGAATAAGACCACAGGCATGCTTTTTCTCCCCAATAAAGGCAGCATTCAGGGTTGGCATGGGGCTCTTACCACAACACAATAATTAGCTTTTCAGAAATAGACAATAATTTCTGTTCTTTACGTGAAGGACATTCAAAAAGTATCACCACATAATCACTGGCCTGAAATCTGGGTGGTTCACTCCATCCATTTAGTCACATGGAAATATTGAGTGAGGGTGTGTTTGTGCGTGCGTGTGCAGGCAGTTGAGTGAGCACTGTCCACACTCCACTTTTGCCGCCTACACAGTAGCAATGTGACTGTGGATAAGTCCCTGTTCTCCAATGTCATCCTGGGGTGACTGCACGGATTCTAAGTACTCTACAGAATTAAGAGGAAGGGCATGTGGCAAGGCCTAGCATAGCACAAGCTTAGAAAAGATGCTCTCCAAACCTCACTTGCCACTGAAACTAAGACTTGAGGAGGGCAGTCTGCCCATGACTCACCACTGCTGCTGGGACTCCATCTCCTCGGAAGCCTTCGTGCTCGGCTCGGGAGAGGGCGGCCGCCTCTTCCTCTCCTCTTCCTCTTGCTGTCTGCGCACTTCCAGTAACTCCAACTGAGAGAGAACACGATAATGTTCAGCAGAGCCCCAAACTTTGCTCCAATTAAGGAAAGCGTTCTAGAGGAACCCAGAAAGCCCTCCTGTCTGAGTTTTCCACACTGGATCACGCTGGACAACCAGAAACTCTAACATCCAGCAAGATGGCACTGGGATCACAGGATCTGCAGCTACAACCCCAAACTACTGCAAACAGAGATCTGCGTGACACACAGTCCTAATCCATGGGGTTTGCATGTCCCCTGGGACATGGGTTTAATTTCTAAACCAACTATGCAGCTTTCAACTTCGTTTAGGAAGAAAGTACCTGAGCGTGAGCATCCACGTTTACTTCCCATCAGAGCTCAAACACCAGACACAGAGCTACAATAAATCTCAAGGAGGCTTCTTGTGCTGTGGTAGGCATTTGTGTTTAGCTCAAACCCAAATAACACATAAACAAAAGCCACAGGGTAGTCTAATTGAAACTAAGCCATTCCATAAGCAGTATGTACGTACTAAAAGTATTCCGTTTGACACAAAGTATGCAGGTATGTTTTAAGTCCCCAGACCTGTAGAAACCAGGAAGAACACCATTTTTGTGCACCATAAAGGATCAGCTTTCTACCAGGAGTACAAGTGTCATAGGAGAGGAAATACCAGTGAGTAAGCCCTATTGTAAAGCTTTAATTTTAATGGTGACAGAAGAAACGATCAGGAATGGGGAGAATTTTCAATGGTTTGGGATCCAGCTATTACTTGACAGAAATTCTAATTCTGAAAACCTGAAGAAAACTGCAAGACTAACAAACTCACCTAAAAAGCAAAGCTTTCATGAGATATAAGAAGAAAAACAGATCAAAAGAGAAAAGCAAAGCTCACTCAATCAATTCCCCGGCAGGTAGCTATCGTAAAAGTGATCACAAATCTAGGTATCCAGGAGTAACTTAGGGAGTAGTTGTCCTGGATAGTCTCCCAGGTCCTGGATCAAGAGAACAACCATTTCAGGAAGGTCCTCACTGTTTCTAAAAACAGAATAACATGAATTCTCTGGTCTAGGTGGTGAGCAGACAGAAGCAGCTGCCAATGGAAACCAACAAGCAAAGCACCCCCGGCATCCAGCAGTCACTTACCGTTGTCAGCCTTTCCAGGGCAGAGAACCTCTCATCCCAGGTTGCTGCAGACTTTTCAAAAGCCTCGTGGCGCTTGATGAGCTTCTCCACCTCATCCACACTCTGGCCTATTTCTCGGCTGGATAGGTATGGCTCTTGTCCGAGCAGCCAGGCCTCGGCCACACTGGCGTCCCGTGAGAACTGGTGGACCTCCAAAACTGCACAGAGTACCAAGAGTGAGTGCTGGCCAGCAGGGTGACCTGGCAATCAGGGAGGGCACTGCCCTCTGGTGGCAGCTGCCCACACAACCAGTCTATAGTCTAAATCTGCGCTGTCCAGCAAAAATGTAACGTGACCAACATATCCAACTTTAACTTTTCTTGTAGCCACATAAAAAAATAAACTGATGAAATTTAATAACAAGCGGGTCAAATTAAGAAGTATATTTTAGACAGCCTAATATATCAAACTAGTATCATTTCAACATATAAGCAGTATAAAAAAATTGAGAGATGGAACGTTTTTTCCTTACGCCTTTGATATCCAACGTACATTTTATACTTATAGCACCTCTCAATTTGGACCAGCTCCATTTCAAGCTCTCAAGAGTCACTTGTGGATGGTAGCTACCACATTGGACAGAGAATAGTGCAGGCCTAGAAGGTATGCTCTACTCACTCAGCCCTACACCAGTGAGACAAGCCTCAGAGCCCTGAAGGAATTCAGTCTACACACAAAGACTAGGCTGATGAAGGAGGCATTCATCAACCACCCTTTCTGGGATGGTAGTTATAAGTTTTATTTTGAGGGGCTGAGAGGGAGGAAAGGATATGGGGAGTACTCTGGAAAGTGGGGACAATATGGGCTAAGGCTTCTGCTTTCCTCATTCTCAAAACATATAGACCAAATTCTCATCCAAAGAATGTTCAAGAGCAGGACTTCTTTTCCAAAAGAGGGCTCTAGCCCAAAGGGTAACGTGCCTTCATTTGGTATTTTATACACATTTTACAAAAGGCCTCCTGGGTTCTGTTTCTAGTGAGCACCCTTGGTGTCTGAGAATGGGGTTCTAGTACATGAACAGAGCCCAGAGCCGCACACATGCAGAATGGCAAAGTATGGCAAATAATGCTTGAGCTGGCTACCTTCAGTGTTCATACCTATTATTAAATGCTATTCCCAATACTCTATGTTATAAACTCTGTGGTAGCTCACATATTCCTTTATAAAATCAGATGAAAATTACAATCTACCTCAGAGGTTCACTTGAATAAATGCAGAAAAATATATAAAACACTTAAAATAATGCCTAGCTCACTGCAAAACCTTTATAGTTGGTTGCGTTTATTAAGTTACCAACCTTCTTCTAAGAACACCAGATATAAGAAGTAATCTGGCCAACTCTCTACCTTCTTGACTGCAGTAATAATTCCTCTTAAAGATAACTGGAGGAGGAAGGGACTTCAATCTGCACTCTTCTAGAGGGATACTGAGTTGTCATTTCCAGTCTGTTCCTAAAGAACACCCAAATCCCATTTACAACACTGAGATCAATCATGGGATAAACAGTAATAAATACACCCCAGGGAACAGGGAACTACTTAAAAATATTTAGCATGAAATGGTGAAATAAGGCATTAAAGAAGTAGTATTTAGAACTCCAGAAATCATTAAGTGATAACATCACATCAAATCAATTAAAACAGGAAACTAAACTTGCATGCTTTCAATGGACACCCAAAAAGAATGGAAAAATTAAGTATGTCCTTACTCAGTCTTAACCATTCCCATCGGTCTTCCCACTTGTCAATCATTTCTTTTCTCTTTTCCGTCAACTGCAATAGCTTTTCCTTGATCTTGAGAAAAGAAGGACAACAGGGACAGCTTAACAGATTGTACCACATCCTCCTAACCTCCCCTTGATGGGCCACTTCAAAGAAGAAAATACATTTTCTGTAGAGACCACTACTAAGCCAGGGAGTATCTAAGGACTACTCAGTTAATTTGTGTACTGGAGAGAAAAACATGACAATGTGCCTTCCAGAAGGGACTGAGACGAAGGCTGGGCTCCACCCAAAGCTGCTATCATGAGGAGGCCAACAATGCACTGAGCCCTCTCCAGATTCTGGAGCTCCGGAGGGTAAACACACTCAGGAAGAGGGGGACAGTGAGAGGTGCAAAGCCCTGACTTCTTTGAGAGAACAACCTAACCTTTCATCAAGTGGGTCACACATGCTGACTCATCATTTACCCCTGTATTACTATCATTCTAACTGGAATTAGCAACCTTCCACTAACAGCAAGCTGACCTAGAGGACATGTGACAGATAAGGAGTGGCACCCAAGGTGAGTACTGATGGAGGAGGTGACAGAGGATGGAACTTCAACCTGGGGCCCTCAGAAATTGTCTTCTGTGCCAGACTCATTGGCTCTGGGCCTAGAGTCTTCTTGTGTAACTATACCACACACACAGGAGAGCAGCAAGGAAGTTTGAAATACATGTAAGCATATCTATGTATGAATGCACATATATATTTCTCTGTATGTGTGTACATGCATATACACATACATACACACTCACAATAGAAAGTTATCTCATGTCTTAACACCAGCTGCACCCACCCCAGGGCCCTAAAGCAAACAGCGTCCTACCTCCTCAGATGCATAGTGCTTCCTCGCCAGTAGGGATTTCCCAAGTTCAATGCAAGTTGTAAAGCTGTCATTACGAGCATCGATTTCAGCTTTGATACCTTGATGATTATTCATTAATAGTTCAACAGATGATACATCCCTAAAATTAGACAAATAATACCTCCTTTAGGAGATCAAGTTTTCCAAATAAATGTGCAGGTTTCAAAATACGTCATCAATTTCAAGGAACTGTTCACTAGCATAATATACAATGGTACAATATGACTTTCAGGTCTGATTTACAGTCTGAGCTTAGGCTGGGTCACTGAGTTAAAGCATAATAATGGACTAATTCAGGGCCAGTGATAAAATCTAACATTCAGAATAAGGTTTCTCTCATCTGTGTGTGTGTGAGCACCTGAGTAATTCAAAAAGGTTTCCAGGCAGGTGCCAGGAAAACCACTGGATTCCTGTTCAAACTTTTGTACCCTAATGGGTTACTGCCAAAGGTTCAGGACAGGACATGTTCAGAGCAGCAGATATATCCTCTCCTAATTCAGAGACATAAAGAGGCACCCAGAGCTGGAACCAGCTTAGAAATCAACAACTGTAGAGCTGTGAGAACTTCTCATGGATCAAAACCTAAAGTCCTGATCTGGGAAATACAGCTGCTTTTATATATATATATGTATGTGTGTGTATATATATATATATATATATATATATATGTGTGTATATATATGTATGTATATATATACATACAGTAATAAGAATATTTTTTCTCTATTACACTGGGGGGTGGGGCTAGCAGGGGTCAACTGGAGTTGTGCATGTACCTGCCTGTTCATCTATTAGCTTCTCTTCACTGCTTTGCATCAAACATGGCCAAAGAGAAGATCTCAAATAAATATTAAATAATCATCTCAAGATGCCATTTAAGCAGATGGTAAGGAATAAGAGACATCTTTTGTAACATGTATGAAAAGGGATAGAGTGGTTTTTAATCTAACAGATACAGAAAAAGAACTCAAAAAAAAGCCATCTCATTCCAATGATGAAGTAGAGCTAGTCATGCCCAAGGCATATGGCTGCTTGAAGCATGAGGCCCAGAGAGAGCAGGAAGGCAGCAGTGAGTGTGGAGCATGGGGATGGGGACATATAGAGGGCTTGAAAATACTGTGCCCTGTTTCCCTGGCAACTGTGTGCTAGAGACAGCTAAAGCAATGGAAGCTGTCCCAAACTGCCACCAATCCTGTTCTGGCCTTGAAGCTCTCCACAGAGGTCCCTGGTTCTCCCGAGAAGATCTCTCTCGAAATCACCTGGGGTCAGGAAGCCGGATCTCCTCCCACCCAGGAGGCCACGAAGGTTACCTTGGCTTCTCCTGGGCTTCAATCTGCCGGATGACGTCTTCCATCCACAGCATGAGGTCTCGTACCATGCTGAAGAAGCGGAACTTGTCCCCCGTGTCCACCAGCCGCACCCTGCGGCCCTCACAGGCATCCAGCAGGGCCTTCCAGGCTTCCAGGACCTCATTCTCCCGCTTCTGGATGTCGTCAGCCTTGTCACCCGCGTAGGCTGCCTGTAGACGGGCCGCATCCTCCTGCAGCTGCCTGACCTGCAAAGCCACAGTGGGGAATGAGCCAGATCAGACAGGTGGGCCTTCTCTCCATTGCCCCACTGCTCCCTTCATGCACACCACATGCTGTTCTGCCCGCCCACTAATGGGACCACCAAGTCAAAACAGGGCCCCTGCATCCCAACAGGCTCACAATTTCACCCACATTGGAAAAATCAAGTTCACTATAAATGTACTGAACTAGATTATTGAGTTCAGCGTAAACGGTGAGACAGTGAAATACTACAGGACTGTCTCTAAGCAGGACACCTTGGTTAGGTCTACTGGAGGTTGCCTGGGATATAAAGACAGTACAGAAAGCACAAGGTACATACTCAAATATAGTAAAAAAAAAATTAGCATGTAATCTGTTCCTGCAGCGTACAGATGGTACTTTTATCATGAAACAGGAACTGCCATGAAGAATTCACTTTGAAAACAAGTTTTCCATTATTATGTGATGTTGCTCATGAAAACAACGTATGAATTATCTGTAAGAGTGCTCACATGTGACAGTTCAACTTGAAAAACAAAAATACAGAATCTAACGTAGCTCAAAAAATTGACCAATGCAGGGGCACCTGGGTGGCTCAGTGGGCTAAGAATCTGACTCTTGATTTTGGCTCAGGCCATGATCTCACAGTTTGTGAGATCAAGCCACACTGGGCTCTGTACTGACAGAGTGGAGCCAACTTGGGATTCTATCTCTCCCTTTCTCTTTGCCCCTATCCTGCTCACACTCTCTCCCTCTCAAAATCAATTAATTAAAAAAAAAAAAGCTGACTGATGATGTCTAAGAAGGTGAAATTTTCACCAGCCATATTTCAATAAAAACTTTGCAGAACAAGAAATGCAAATGGGCATTAGGAAAAGATGCTCCATGGAGATACTAGAATTTGTCATCTATTAGTTGGCAAAAATTCAAGTCTGATGATGTCTCTGCCAGTGAGCTGATTCACGAATGATAGGACAACGGTCTACAGCTCCTGCAGAAGGCATGGGCAGTATGTATCAAAATGACAAACATAGGTACCTTCTGATATATGAGTCCACTTTGGGGAATTTATCCTGGATAGAGTTATGCACATTTAGGAAATGAAATATACATCATTCATTGTAGTAGTGTCTGCAAAACCCTAAGACTGAAAATAAATGTTCATCAGTGAGAATCCGGTTGCATTAATAAGGCTCTTCCAGAGTCATGAAAAAGAATGAGTAAAGGCCCTACATACACATGAAAAGTGTTCCAGAATGATGGCTCTATCAAAAAAGCAAAGTGCAGACAGTGCACCTAATATCTACTTTCTATGTGATAAAGGGGGAAAACAAGGATCAGCTTTCACCTTCTTTTGAGGAGGGAATGGAATGGAGATAGGCTTTTACAAGAGAAAGTAGATTTTTCTCTTACACATTAGTAGTGCTGTACTGCATACAACATCTAATTAAAAATACATACATATGGGGGAATAGACATTCAATCTTTATTTACTGAGGCTATGTAATCAAAGTTCGCAGACAACTGTCATCCAGGACTGCAGGAGCCTTTAGAGGTCTGTGAGGGGAGTATGCCGGTAAGTATCACCTGGGGATGTATGTGGGGAGAAAAGGAGCAGGGATGGACAACACTGGGGCTTTCAGGGAGGAAGATACTGACCCGGACCACACAAAAGGACTTTAGGTGGTGGGAGGTTAAGGAAAACAAATTTCTACAAAAGATTCAGTGAAGTTTGTTTTCCCTGATGATCTGATTTTCATATCCTGACTTCTGCAAATCTACAATTATGGCTCAGGTATAATTCAAATTACAATGAGCAAGTTCCTAAGAAATTATTGAAAAGCTAATTTCCTATATGACTAACCAAATCTTTCCCTACAGTTAAAAAAGCCCAAACAAAAACCCAAAATCTTTTCCTGTGCCTCTGGTTGTTTTAAAACAAAACAATCCAAAACCAACCAAGTGAACAAAAAACAAGGTGGAGGAGGGATAGCAAAAGTGAAAATTCCCACACAAATGAACCACTGCTTTAAGAAGACACTGAAGACCACCACTGCATGCAAATGTCCTAAGGCTCCAGTGCAGAATGGAGTGGGCCGGTGTGAGGGTTAAAGGGCCAGGAAAGAAACACCAATGGCTTCTGGGAGCCTGCACCAAGTGCCTTCCCTCTATTCTGATTCTGTTACAATAAACTGGATTGGGTCGACATTTGCAGAAGGGGCATGCATACTATTAGAAATGCAAATGGCCTCATCCAGCAGGTATCGTGAGGTGGAGACTCTCAAGACTCAAGGGAGTGTACTCCTGTCCACCCTCAAGATGAGATGGGCACCCTCATCAGTCTGAGTCTCACAAGGTGAAGGGATTTAATGAAGAAAATAAGAGAGCAACTCCATCACCTCTGGGGTCTGCTGAAGTTCTAAAACTAAGTGATTTTTACAGGTACGGAGGAAAGACCTCCTGTTGGTAAGATGTGTTCTAGCTCTGCCTCTAGGGATCTCAGAGCTTCTCCCAGTCAGAGAACACTTACAGAGCTCTCACAGGGACGTATCTTTTGCAAACAACATCTCAATCCTCAAAGCATTAGGGAATGGAAGCCTAGAGAGGTAAATTAAACTTGCAGTGATACAGAGCAGCAGGCCCGGTTCAAACTGGCATCTGCCCCTCTACAGGGGGCCTTACTCCAAACACAGGTGAGACTGCATTGTTATGGATCCTCATTCATTCACGTGGTGCTCCAGGACCTCATGTGCAATGAAAGCCTCTGAATGTAAAGCTGACAAGTTGTCACAGAGCTGGGGAGTCCTCCAGCTCTGAAGGAAAGATTGGAAACGCTTAAGGTACATGGTAGACCCTCCTAAATTCTGCTTCATACAGACCCTCGGCCACTCCATGTACCTATTTTCAAATATTTCCTCAATACGTTCTATCTCCTTGGTGGAAAAGCTAAAGTCACTTAATATACATGGAGCCCCATGCACAACCCCAACTGTGATCTGTTTCTAGTAGGTGAGAAGACAATGGTGGTAAAGGTGGTTCCTCCAGAGAAAACCCCAAAGCAGACCAAAGAATGGTAAGGACAATGGCACTGGATAGGGGTCAAGCCCATAGTCAAATCTTGACCATGTGTTTTCAGAAATAAAGATTCACTGATACGCAGTCATGCTCCTTCATTTTCGTATTGTCTAGAGCAGCCTATGCTACAATAGCCACGCTGAGTATTTGCAACAGGGACCATGCATCCCACAAAGCTGAAAATATTTACCATCTGCGCTTCTATGGAAGAAGTTAGCCGATCCATGCCCTAGATTACCAACGTGCTCTTAACAGACAAGAACAAAACTCCTAATCTACTCTGGGCTGGTATCTTTAATAGAACTGCCTTCTTTTTTAGAACTATGAAGTTTAGGAGAAAAAGATACAATTTATTTTTCATCTAAAAGTCAGAAGACTGAACAAGACACTGTGCAGAGATTAGAGAGGGAACTAAAGCATGATTATACTATAAGTTCTTACTGCTATACTGTTACCACTTTGTCAAACATCTTTTAAAGAAAGTCTTTGTGTTAGGCATTTCAGACAGGGGCAGTGGGGAGACCAGGCATATTAAAGCATTAGACTCTTGTTTTCCCTCTTTCCAGACATATAACTCAGACCCTGATGGATGGAAAATAATAAGATATTATTTTAGAAATTATTCTGGGTGAATACACTAACATAGTACTAATTCTTGCTGAGAAGGTCTATAACTTGCAAATGTTTGCAGGTGCATCTGGTTTATTTTAATTGTGGGGATATTCACTTAATAATGTCTGTACATGTGTCAAACTGAGAATTTTATGGACTGAATTCTCCTAAATGGAGCATTATAACAATGTGTGTGTAGAGGTGTGTGTGTTTAATTTGGGCAATTCTTTGACGCATGTTTTGAGGAGCCAAGGAATGGAGAGAGATCCTCAGTGATGCACAAAGATGCTCCCCACCACCCATGGGCATCTCCCTAACCCACCTGAGTGCCCAGAGCCTGGATGTCATGCTCAAACGTGGTGTGCATTCTCTGTAAGGTCTCCACTGTGTTCTGATCTCTCCCAAGCTCCTCGGGGAGTTTCTTGTGTTTGTCCTGTATGCGCCCAAAGATCTCCTTGGCATCATGGTAAAACTTGTGCAGTTCATAAGAGGCGGCAAGAATCTGTGTTCTCGTGTCGATGAGCTCCAGGAGGTCAGCCCAGGCTTCGTTGAGCCCATCCTTCCACTCGGCGATGGTGGCGGCATCCGAATGACCAGAGTTGATGAGCTCATCTGCCATGTGATTGACTGTGTCCACACGCTCCTGTCCAATGTTCCCTGTGTCTCTGGCAAATTCCCGGAATCGTTCTTGTAACATCTGAAACAGGAATAAGCACGAAGAAAATCGGTAAGACTACTATGAACATTTTATTTCTTGATCACATGAATGTCCTTTGGAAAGAAACAATATGCGTGATGTCACAGGTCTTAGCTCTAAAACTCAAATCAGGCTTCCTTCCTGCCCTCTGTCGCAGAGCAAGGCCCTGGCTCCATCTCTTTTCACTACTGGAGAAAGGCATGGAGAGGTCAGACAAGCTAAGTCAGAGTTTGCCTGGCAATAAAAAGCTGAGCTGGAACTAAACCCCGTGACCTCTGATCTGAGTCCAGGGTGTCCAATGTGCTCACAGATAAGGAGTCAAGCAAGCACCCCTGCCCAGTGCACCCTGCATGGCCACCCCTGCTCTGCCCAGGGTACTTGCCGTGACATGCTCGTAGTCCTGCCCCAACTCATGCGACCCTGCGACCACCTCCCTCTCAGCGATCCACTGCTCCAGGTCGTCCACCTCCCGGTTGAGCTGGAAGAGCCTGTGCCTCTCGTCCAGCTTGCCCCTCCGCTCTTCGGCCAGGTCTTTCAGACCCGCGTACAGCTTGTCCACTTTGGACTGCCGCATGCTGATGCGCTCACTGGAAACGGGGGTGGGAGGGGCAACAGGTAAAGGACCTTAAATGTCAAATTTTCTTCAGGGAGAAAACAAGTGAAGGGAAAATGCCAAGAAAACATCTTACATAAAATTTCTCAAAGGAAACTTCCGATTCACCTATTTGGCCTAAAAAATAAAACTCTGAAATTTGACGAGTAATGAAGAGCCAACACATAAAAAAAAAAAAAAAACAGTAATTAAGGCTGATGGCCATCCTGTGATGATGGGGGGAGGTGGCGAGGAGGAGAAACCCTAACTCTCTGCACTGCTGGCTCTGTTAAGTCAGGATTTCCTTTGACATTACAAGTTAATGAAAAATCCAGGAGCTATCTTCCTCTCTCAAGAACCATGCTACTTAAGGGACAAAAGATAACCCTGTCTGGCACACACCTCCACCTTCTCTGGGGTGTATGCTCTCCCCTGCCACTCCTGTCAAGTGGGTCCTGGGAGTACTGCATCCCCCTCCCTCCAGCTCCCTGCCCCCCCCCCGCCCTCCCCCCGACTGTCTTATAACAGGAAATCAGAGAGACAAGGACTTCTTGATGCCGGTCCCTAGAGACTAGGAAGGCCACTTTCCTGGGACTTCTATCATGAATACATGAAGGACCCCCTACACCAACACAGCCACCACTGACTGCATCTTCAACCTGCCTTAGTTACTACACAAAGCCGATTCTCTTCCTGAGTTACAAAGGCAGTTACATAGCAAGCCTAAGATAACTGCCATTGAAGTCAACCTGTGAACATGGTATAAAATTGGCAAGTACCACACACATATCTTCTGTAATTCCCAACGTGCTTGAAGGACTTGACGTGCAAGAGTGAGGAAGCGGTATCATCCTGCTCTTTGTGGGAGCTCAATTATTTTACAGGTCTGTGCATTCTTGTTCACCGCTCCTGCTCAAACTCATCATCATTTTCCTAAACTGGATGACTTTCAACCCAAGGGTAGGTTTTGATAACTTGTATCTATGCAAATCAATTTGTAGTTTTGCCTCATGACACCAATAATTTTTCAAGAGGGCCTAGGCTCACAAGAGATATTTAAACCACAAGAGCAATTTCCTAATGTAATAGTTCACCCTTCCCATTCAGCACAGACCTGTTGGGTCTATTTTAAAAATGCTTCCCAAAGACCTACATCACCAGTTACTCAATGCTGTCATCCATTTCCTTTGGCATTGGGACAGAATAAAAACCCTCGCTGGGAAGAACCAATAGGCCAGTCTCTTGATAAAATAGTACTCACCTTTCCGGATGGCTGTCAGCCACCAGGGCCCGGCTGGTCTTAGAGAGCTGATGCACGGTCTCTGCATAGTCCTCCACGGCTTGTTCCAGAATCTGGTGCTTCTTCAACATGGAGACGGCGCTCTGCTCATCCTGCAAAGATGGGGTCACAACCACAGTCGCCCCCTCTGACTGACACCACCTTAAGGCAAGACCAGCTGACTGCATCATGGGTGGAAGGAAGAATCATCAGAAAGAACAAAACCATAAGGAGCATCAATATGAACTGGACTGTATGCACGTGGGAGGCCTCTGTGAAAGACGAACACGAGGATCATACAGAATGAGTGAGACCCCTCTGAGGTACAGGGTAAAGCCCAGGAAACCAAGTGTATCCTGGCTGGCTGAGACTCCTCACAGTCTAACACCTGTGTAGATGACTGCATCTTGGAACTCTAAAAACTTTCAAATTGTCTCAAAAGCATCTTGTAAAGTTTAGGTGATTCTATTAATTAAAGAGAGCAAAAAGGACTCTAGCAAATATCTATTTAAAAAAAAAAAAGAAGAAGGAAAAAACGAGAAGAGAAACTCAGTCTTAATGACATGTCAGGACTCACACAAGAAGATTCTGTGTCAAGGGGAAATAGCCAGATTCCAGCCACCTTAATGCATGTGGTGCCCTCCCACCTGTGACACTTGAAGGCAACAATGAAATGTTTCACAAAGACACAGCCACCGGCAGAAAACAAGCTCGGGGTCTGAGTTGGAGGCTCTTAGGGAAAAGCTGGAAACGTCTCTCACCTTGGCCTTCTCCTCAGACATCATGTACAGCTCTTGCTCGCTCATCCACGCCTCAGCCTCAGCAGCATCGAAGTAGTACTGCTGGGCCCTGTGCGCCTCCTCAAGCCGCCTGTGGCGCTTCTCGGTCTCCTCAATGAGGAGACCCCATAGCTCCTTGAGGTCAGCGAGCCTCCGTCGAATGGCTTCGGCGTTGAGGCTGCTGCTGTCGGTGACAATGTTTTGGCTCCTCTCAAAGATGTCATCAATGCGAGGCTGGTGCCCCTGGATTTCTTTCTGGAGGGTCTGTGGGAACGGGGAACACACAAAAAAGGCTTGCTGAGCCGCAATGGCAGGCTGTTTCATGAGGGCCAAGGGGAAATAGTGAACCTTCAAAGCTCTCACACATTCTCTGCTCTGTAATTTGGAGCAATTATTTATCAGACTGAGCTAGCCCAAGCAGAAATGCTTACCTGATTTTTCTTTATTAACAGCTGCACAGTCTGGAGGTTGTGGCCATGATCTGTGGAAGTTGCCAAAGGCATCCTCTCTCCAACCCACAACTGGAAAAAATTACAAGTTTAGATGGTCAGGACCACTCAAAAAGAACAAATACTTGATGCAAACAAAAGTGCAATAGAAGATTAGCAGGGAGGCCAGCTTGAGAGAGAAGGCGTATTCGATCCCACTGGGACGGGTTGCCCAAGGAGCCTGCCCTTCTTGCCCAGTACAAGGTGAGGGCTAGTCTTTCAAAGCTTACTTCATCCTCGCTGCTGGATCCCCTCGAGTCCTCACCCTTAATTTATTTTTAAAACTACTATTCTAGGGGCAGTAAAAGCCTAGAACATCTTTAGAATGTCAAAGAGAACAGTAGAGTTGCATTTTGTATGAATATATAAAAGCATGGGCTTTCACAGCCCAACTCACCAATGCAGCCCAAAGTGAGTCTAACAAAGAAGCAAGAATGTCCTAATTAAGGCAGGACAGGTAAGGAAGTTTATGGAAAAGCCCCTTGCATAGTGATGGTCTACTTACAATCTCATCCTCCACATCCCTGTTGAACTGATGGATCTCTTTAGAGGCCAGCAGATTATGCTTTCTTTCATTCAAGGGCTCCAGCAGTTCCATGAACTTGGTCTGCACAGTGAGGCGCTTGCTGTCCACCTCATCAGTGCTCTTCCCCTCCTGACTCAGGGCCTGGGCCTGGCTCTGGAGCTCCTCGATCTCCTTCTTCCGCACCTCCATCTGGTTCTCCAGCATCTGAGAACAGAAAACAGACCAATTGTCACACCGGAGACAAGGGAAAACACACACAGTCCACAGTCCTATAAAATGTTTTGAGCACTGGCCAAAATGGAAGACCGAGTATTAATTTATATAATGGAGAGCCCAAGAAAGGATTCTTAACATCTATGAAAAATCATTAATCCCTTCCCAGGATTTTTAAACTCAGGAACAACACTCGAGTTTATCCAGGAATTCAGAAGGCAAATGACAAGAGAAACAAGAATTAATTATGGGGAAAGGACAGTCTTCATCTGCTTGTTCAGATGCCATAACGATGCTGGAAACCCATTTAACCATCAGGAAAAGGTAATGGAACTTAAGGTTCCAGTTCTTTTAGGCAAAAGGAATAGCTAATGTCATCATCATCTCTCAATTTCTTCAATCAGGAGGATGATTATTCTTTTTCTTAAATACTGGATCAGCAGGTGAAAACATACTAACTGCTTATCTACATGAGGAGAATGAGCCAAAGTGAAAGCAGAGGAGTCTCAGTCAGGGAACGACACACTGGGAATACCATACGCTAACGGTTGAGAAACAGGGGGGTCCCCTCTGGGAACAAATGGGCTCCTTTCTTAGGTAAGGAAGTAAACAGCCATGAGTAAAAACTACCTGTAGCAAAACTCCTTAATGCATAATAGTGTAGCCAAATAACTGCATCAGTTAGCAAAGGGAAGGGTGGGGATCACTCTGAAGAAACAGGCTTCGGCACTCGGCAAAGACACTTCCACATTGACTGGTTCAAAGCAGAACCATTGGGCTGGGGACTCGGCTGCACAAGGCAAAGCTAGCCAGGGAAGCCACTGGAAGCTTCTGCCACCAACCTGCTTTTCCTCAACCTCACTGAAGCTGTTTTCTTGCCAGTGTGAAGTAAATTCATTCGCCTTTAGAATGCTCTACCATGACGTCCAAAAAACAAGTACATAAATAAAATTTATGATCCAAAAAGTACCCTGACCAACTCAGATAACTGATACATACCCACTAGATGTTATAGAGCAAAGTATGTGAAAAGGATTTCCCTGTGTAAACCTCAGAACTGAATGAAATGCATATTTACTCAACTATTAAATGGTGATACTATCCGTCAACTAAGATGATGACAATAAAAAGAAAAGCACTGCCATGCACAGACACCCAATATTTCTACTAATATGTATCTTTCCAGTTGATTCTGGAAATGTCCCGTGACGCTGTCAAGACAAACACTATGCTGGGTTAAAACCCCTCACAGAGAAGGCAGGTGGTTGAGAACACAGTGGTGAGTTAGGGCTATAAGGATGATGGCAATGAAACAGAAAGAGGCCCGAGTATGTGGCTGCCTCGCCCACTTGCCTGTTGCTTTTTAAGCAGGATGTTGACGCTGGTAAGGTCTTTGCCATAGTCATCAGACTGAATCTGACTCTCCAGGCCGTGCAGCCATTTGTCCAGATCTGCACAGCTCTGGGTGAAAAGTTCAGCCTTGTTTGCATCAAAGAGCCGCTGGGCCTTGGTCTGGGTGGTGGACTCGAGGACTTCCCACATGTTATGTAAACCAGTGAGTTTTTCCTTTACCACAGCTTCCGTCTCAGGCTTTTCTGAAATGAGCTGCATTCCTTCCTGGAAAACATCAATAAATACAGTTTGCTAGAGAACAAAGGGCAATGTGAGAAACAACCCTACGATATTTAATCTGTGATTCACCTATTCATTCACATAAGGTTATGGCTTAAAAAAATGGACAAGGGCCTAGTCTATGTACACTACACGGCTTTCCAAAGAGTGCAGCAAGAAATGACTGTTGCACGATGAAATACTTTCAACAGGGGCAACGGGAAAATGCTAATGACTTATGACTTCCACTGCACTTGGCTCCCGAAGATGGTAACACATCACTTTAACCATTAAGAATCTGAAACAATATAAAAAGTCTGAGGAAAAGAAGGAAGGGTGGGGAACTTCACCTTCATGTTCAGTTATGCTGCAGAGAATCTCCCTGTGCCAAGATGATACATACTAAGTTACCATAGTGCCTGGTCACACAAGAAAAATCGTAATACGTAATATTACTACATTCTGTGTAAATCATCAGTCTCTGTCACAGTCCAGGACACATGCTGTGATCAAGAAAGTGGGACTCTGCCCAGGAGGCTCACAGCCCATCATCTGCAGCAGGTGAGAAACAAATCGAACAACTAGTACTTACTAAAAGACAAACCAAGCATTTTGAACCACAACTGGTTGGGTTTCTGCTGTTCTCCCTTCTAGCAGGTTAAAGCTGGCATTTGGTTTAGTGGGAGAGGCCCTGCTTCTGGCAGGGTAACTTCTGTATGGGATCAGATGGGACTTAAAAATGCAGGAGAATGAGCTGAAGAGAAGAGCTCGTTTCCCACCTGGTTCATTTTCTTGCCATGGCCACACCACCCAAATGGGAGTCTCATCCAACATTTTAACTCACCTTCTCAATTTTGTCAAGCCATTCTTTGTTGGATGCAAGTTCTGCCATAAATGCTTGATGTTTTAACCATTTACTATGCAGATTTCTGGCTTCATCGTAAGACATGTCCTGCGCAGTAAGCATCTTTTCATTGATCCAAAGAGATAACTAGGAAAAACAAAAATCAGGAAAATGTCAGAGATTGTAATCACAGACATCAGCCTTTTTTCTGCCTGGAAAGAGTTGTGTTATGTTGTACTACACATACTGCATGTTTCCATGTCAACTGACAACCAAATATTTACTTTACAACTCTGACCCGTCATGACAGGTTATCTCCATTGTACGGGAGATGTACCTGAGCCTTGCTCCAAAGTATCTAATGTTAAATCCATAGGTACAAAAAGCTCTCTGAGCCAGCCTTCGAAGGGTTTGGCACGCACAACCAGCCTTTCCCCTGAAGGCTTGTGTTTAAAATTCTGCCCTAACCAGTCCAAGTCACTTCTTTTTCTTCCAAATACTTGTGCCAGCTATACCATGTTAATCGTGATTAACTGTCTTTTACTTTATTCGGTAATCTTTTTATCCTTTTAGTTCTTTCTATTACATATTAAAAAGACCAAACACAAAACCCCACTCTTTGATCCCTCCCCTCCCTTCACAGCGTATCTATGGGAATGCCAAAAAAGCATAAATAACTTGCTCACTGTAGGAGCAAGGCAACAATGATGCCCTCTTAAAGTTTCCTTCAAGTTTGAGTCACCTTCACCCTTTTTTTCTATAGCCTCTATTTCTCTAAAGAGCCTTTCATTCAGACCGAGAACACTCCACAGGATTTGATTTTGAGACCCAACATGTCTACTTGGATCTGAACTCTGCAAAGCATCACAAAGCCTGCCAGCTGCTGACGGATCTAAGAAGGGAGTTCTCTCACGAGGCTTGGGGTGGGAGGCAGCCCAACGCGAGGCCCTGGACACACTTCTCTTGCTGGCTTTCATCCCAATTTGCTCGACTCCTTACTGCCTGCCTGTAGTCGGCCATGCCAGGTCCTAATTCCTACCCCATACACAGCACTAACCCAGGAAGAGCTTTTTGTTTGCCCAAGAGAAATATACACAAAGGAATGTAGGATCAGGCCAGAATCAGAAGCAAAGGTCTTCAGAGGCCATGTCCCTTCTCCTGTGTGACCATAAGAAGCCCACTTCTTACACCAGTCGCTGCCAAAACAAATTTGCACCCTCATGGTCCAATCCTCAAGGTTTAGAGATTTCTGTGCCAATCTCCAAGGCATAGAAAACCAAAAGAACACTTAAAGGATCAACATTTCTAAGACCATTCACTCACACTCGGGGCTACTGCTGGGAAAGGCTTCCCTGCAAATGTGTTTAAATAATAGCAAGTCTGTTCTTTAAAAACAATGTCAAGGAGGCTGACACAGGTCACAGGAGCACCCTTGGATCTGAAGGTGGGTGAACTCCCAGTCACCATCTCTAGTTTCTCAGCATATTCACCCACTGTACACAAGGGGGTGGAGGTAGAAAGCAAAAGGTAGTGAGATCTTAGTTGTTATTCTGTATTGAGGTGAAAAACCAGTAAATCTCATAAAGCCCTTTGTAAGCTAGGACCACAGATTGGTTACACAACAGAGACAGTAAACTTCCTACTTTAAAAGAATTATCTATTTTCCAGTTACCTGAGTAGGCAAAACCTGAAATACTATGGCCATTCATTCGGTCCAAGGGGGAAAGAGGTTAAAAGGAAACCAAATGGTAAAATTTTCCCCGTGTTCCACACACACAGATTATACACAATAGAAGGCATTTATCCAAAGTGCAAAGGACATTCACATATTTTCGCTATTCATAACCACCTACCCAGAGAGATTTAAAAAAAAAAAAAAAAAGAGCTACATAAAAATCAGAGGCTTATAAACAAATCTGCTCTTTGCTGAACATCATCCTACAGATAAAGCATCATGAGATACAGCACAATGAAATGGATCTATGGAACTTGCTAGTTCATCAACCCTTCATCAGCACTCTGGAATCAGAACTGCAGTTATTATTTGTAGGCATTTACAAAGGTCATTTAAGAATATACTCATTCTCTGCAGAAAAGAACACTGTGCAGATTAGAAAAGGATAGGAAAAATGCTATGATCACTGAATCAAGCTTTTCAAAGCAAAGCAACGGAACTTGCTATCCCTGGTGCCACATGAGTCTAGCTTTACTGCCCTCTTAAAAAAACACATCAATTTCTGAAAACAGGAGTTATGGTATGAGAGAATAAAACAGAAAAGCAGTAACTTCTAAATCATTTTCCAGGAATACACATCAAAATAATGCTACAAAAATTATGATGTTCTTTATATCCCCATCTACAGCTGGGGATAGGGGAGCCCCTGCAATAAATTTCCCCATCTAGGCAGTGGTTAATGGGAGTGGCAACCAAGGCAGATCTCACAACTCCTGCCTGCTCCAGCCAAGGCACTACAAGGAAGGGACTACGACAGGGACAACTTGGATTCCCTAGACTTGGATGATACCAGTAGCCAGCAATGGTACTAATTCTGACCTCTGGGTGCTCTCTAAGTTTCTAGAAGCATAGAAGGTAGATTTTCAAATGCAAAGCTAGTCCATACACAAACTCCATTCTCAGAGATCCTGGCTTAAAACGTACGTATTTTAATGATGCTGAATGATGCAGAGCTCACGGCCAAAGAAAACTACATACCAATGCTTTGCTTGCACTTCTACACCAGGGTTTTGGAGTCCCCAAACCTGCCCTAAATTCTGTCACTACACAGAAACTGTACATGCTGATGTGGGAGGGATTGCACCCCCCACCCCCAGCATCTATGGTTATACTAACTTTTTATTATTTATTTTTAGAGAGAGAGAGAGAGAGCGCAAAGGGGAGGAGAGGGGGGGACAGTGAGACAGAATCTTAAGCTCTATGCTTAGCTCAGAGCCCAATGTAGGGCTCAATCCCACGACCCTGGGATCATGACCTGAATCGAAATTGAGTCAGATGATCAACCAACTGAGCCACCCAGACACCCCTAGATGTACTTTTTTTTTTTAACGTTTATTTATTTTGAGAGAGAGAGAGAGAGAGAGAGAGAGAGAGAGAGAGAGAGAGAAAGTGAGTGTGGATGAGAGCGTGCATGTGAGTGGGGAAGAGGCAAAGAGAGGGAGACAGAAAATCCCAAGCAGGCTCCCTGCTGTCAGCACACAGCCCAATGAGAGGCTCAATATCATGAACCATCATGACCTGAGCCAAAATCAAGAGTTGGACACCTAACCTACCAAGCCACCCAAGCAACCTGAGTTGTAGTAACTTAATGAGGCTAGAAAGAAAGGCTAAAACAGGAAGACTCAGCAGAGCAGTCACAAAGAGACCTGCACATCATTCCCAGGATGTAAGAACGCAGCCAAAACCTTTCTGCACATAGGGGAAATCCCACTAGGACTGAGCCCTTGAGGCATGCCTAGCAGTCACTGGTGCATGTTAAGGAGTGAACTACTTGTAACCAAGGGTGCTAATTTAGAACAAGTGCTAACAAAGCTCTAATGACCTAGTAAGACCATTTCCTGTGATTCTACTGGGAAGGACTATTATTTTACCCACTTACTTTTCCCATGTTTCTACTTATGAATCCACACATGTGTAAATGGAAAATAGGGAAACTCCAAATGGATTTCTTTCAAGGGTTCCTCTCGTCTCCTCACCTCCTGCTCATTTTCCAGCATTCTTGTTCCCAAATTTAACCTAGGTTTCACCATGCTGAGGTTCATAACTTTCATCTCATTAAACTTGCCTTTTAAGCAAGAGTATTGAATCCTACTGGCTCCCTGCTTCCCCCTATATGGGCTGAGGTTAAAATGAGTCATCAATGGTACTACAAGGGAAACATCAAGGGATAATACAGGGACCTCCAATGTGTGGAAGGCACAGCCCAGGCTACGGACATCTCCTGACCCCTCCAATGAGAAAGAGTCACTTGGTATTCACTATGGCACAACATGTGGCCCAATACAGCTAACTTCAGATCCCATTACTCTCCTCTATGTCCTGTCCAGGGACACAAATACCTCTTTAAATAAGCATCCTATCCAAATGGGTTATTAATGCTTGGGTGCCACTTGAAGAGGCATTCCTGTTTTCTGCTTGTCTGGCTCCAGGCAAATCCCCCAGAGACCTAGATTCATCAGAGTGGCACAGAAAACTGAAAGACCCTAAGCTACACAGTTTAGGGGCTTTCCTTCTGAAGGTTTAGCTGCTGGAGCATATTGCAAGATTCAGAGTAAGACAGCAGCTGAATGGATATGAAGGATCGCTTCTGTCACACACAATCTAACGCGACTGCTATTAGGGCTGTATTACTTCTAACACACAGCCACACATTTGCATGCAAGGTGTTGTGATGATTTCAGTCACATTCTTTGCACACGACCCGATCCCATCCCCACACCCTCCGATACCCTTCCCCCAAGGCCCCTGCAGTTTCTCTTGGATATTCTTCATCCCATTTCTGCCTCCGAGTGGATTTAACCTAATAAACCAGAGAGAATAGAGTCTCACTGTTATTCTCCGGCAGAGAGAAAAAATGCAATGTGCTCCTGAACTCACACATGTGAAGGCAGCCAGATGCTTTTCTCCAATTAGCTTGGAGAGAGACTGCATTTTTCTGGCTAACTTTAGCTTTCCAAGTTTGTTTGTGCACATATCAGGGGAGCATGAAATAGTATGAGAATCATCAGATTAATACCACATGTTAAAACTCACAAGTTTGAAATCAGGAGTGCTGCTCTTGGCATGTTAGACATGTATTCAAGGAGCTTGAAAGATGGTTATTTCAAAGTCTTCAGTGAGTAAGAAACTCAGTCTGTATTTTTTAAATATTTGCTTTTTACCTAGATAGCCAGTTCCAGTACTCCTTAGTTCTTTCCTTCCATACCAGTAAGCGTGTATTACTTTAAATAGTTAAAACACGGCAGTAAATGCATTTACAATACAGAATATCCTAGGGTGTCACTGCCTTCGACAACTGAAATGTTCTAGATCTGCACTGTCCAACGTGGCAGCTGCTAATCACAGTTGGCTAATAGATGTGATAGAAGACAGAAGAGCTACACCTTGATATGTACAAAAGAAATAGCCCCATGTGTGGCTAGGGTCCACTGTCATGGATAGCAGAGTTCTGGACTATTCTAGATTAGAAGAATCTAGTTATTCTAAGTGGTAGCTTGCAGGCTGGAGAACTGATGAGAACTGCCACACTGCCCCAGGAGGAAACAATGAATTTCTGGGCCTTGATTAATTTTATAATTCAAGGGCTCTTCTGTTAAGTGCTCTGGATCTCCTCAGAAGCAAGGAAGGGAGGCATACCTCCTGACAATCTTGCAGGAATTTCTGAAGATCCCGGTTGTCCTTCAAACGCATCAGAAGCTCGCTGGCTGCCTCGCGATTCTTCCTATGTCTGTTTATAATAATAACAAAAATAACTTTTAAAAAAGGAGACAGAGAATCTTGAAATACTGATTTTACAACTCAATGTCTTTCCTGGGTTTCTATGACGACAGCGGTATGCCTGTACGGTTTTAATTATGTCAAAAAGGCAAGATAAACGAGAGAATTTAGCATCCTCCAAATGAGTAAGCCACGGTACGAGAGACCAAAATACTGTCCAAGCCACAAAACAGGCAGAAGAGGCTGTCAAATGAACCATATAAGTCCAATGCTTCCTAATCTGGTGCTGGGGGAAAATCTGATCATGTACTGTGTACAAATCTCCATTTGGGGCACTGAAGGAAATTCTGAAACTTACCTTTAAGACACTGGACTAAGAAATTATAGACAACCATACAACCGGCTTTAAATTAACGTCTCCTAAATAAATATTCTGTCATCCTGAGAAAAACTCCCTCCAAATGACAATTAACCAAGAATGAAAATTTTGAGACCTGTAAGATTATTTATCTACTAAATCCCACTTTATTAACAGGTAAGGGTAACCAAGGTTTAATGCAGCTAAAGCACAAAACCTTAAGCAAAATTGGTAGGAGCTGCTGAACTTGGTGAACAGCAAGGGAAATGGTGTGCTCACTCCCCACCCTGAATGCCCACACTTCGCACACACCGATGAGGCTCCAGAACTTATCAGCAGACTTCCCTCATGTGCCCGGTGGCTTAGGCTCACCAGAGACGGTGAAGAACAGCCATGTGAATACTGGGAGTGCCAGGAGAAGGATGGCCTTGACACAGTTCTGCGGCAACAGGGGAGCCACAGCACACCAAGAATCAAGCAGTGTCATTCTAATACGGCTTCCCTGATATTCCCGAGGAACCTAAGCCCAGCCAGCCAGCCAGCCAGTGAAGGACATTAACTGGGGGAGATGAGGATGCTGGGTTTCCATTCTGATTCTCAAAGTCATCTCCTGCTGCATTTGCCTGGGCAAGGTCTCTCTGGTTCGGCCCCCATGGAAGGAGGAGGAAGACCACGACCTGATTCTCTATGATGCCCAGAAAGAGCAGCTCAGGGAGCACTAGCTGCTGACTGACTTTCAAGAACCCTCCTTGGGAGCAAGAAAGATCATACAGCCATGCCGTGAGTCACACAAGCTCTCAGTGAGTGCTGGTGGAACAAGGAACCGTGGCAACACTGCCGCTACCACGTGCCTGGGGAACGGAAGGAAGGGCTCTCAGCTCCTACAGGCGCCAGTGACTACAGAACAACTGGAATGATATGAGCCGAAGTAATGCTGCCAGGTATATGCTAGTTACATAAAATGACTTTCTAATTTTTTATTTTTAGTTGAAAGGGGTTTTATAGCTTCAGAAACAGGGGTCTTAGTATGTTTAATCACTTAGGTAAAGTGCAAAAATAGAAAAATACTTCTTAAATAATGCTCAATGGAAAGTGTATGCATGTTCAGTGGCACAATTAGAAAGCAGAAACTGAAATGGCAGGTGCTAGAGGTGAGATTCATGGCTGTAGCTTCTCTCCCAACATTTTTAACATTCTGTTGTTTTCATAACAAAAAATAAAGGCCAAATCCTCTTAACTGCAGTGATATCCTTTCTCGGATACCAAAAATTAAAAAAAAAAAAAATCATTTAAAGACTGTTAGTGTATTTGGGCTAAAGGAATTAGGTGTTTAAAAACGGGTAGGGAAGGAATGTCCAAAAAAAGTTTTTTAAATTCCCAAACCTCAAATTTCAGGCACTATTTGTAGGGAGTTTTAAGAATATAAAGCCAATCCTTCAGGAGGAAGGTTAATTTGAGTTGGAGTCAGGCACAAAACCCAGGAGGTCCAGCCTTTACTCAGAGGCCTTGAATAAGGATCCTAGTCCTTTCCACAGTGTCACACCCAAGTGCTCAGAAAGCAAGGAGGAACCAGAAACTGGCAGCTATAGCAGGACATGCATCCTTGAAGCTCAAGGCAATAGTGGAAATAAAAATAACTTCAAACACTGAGAAGACTCACCGAGACAGAAACAACCAGACAGAATCCTGAATGTATCTTACATATTCAAGTCACACACATACAGCAGACTTCTGTCCGGCCAGTCTTTCTCTTCTAGTGGGACCAGGGAGAAGAGAAAAGCCAAATGGTGACTTAGGGCCCCGTGTCCAAATGACACAAATCTACGAGAGGACAGGATGATGGCTTCGGAGGGATATGCTTCTCATTGTAAAAAACAGTTACACGGGCAGTGGACATGGTTGCTGACTCAGAGAACCCTCAAGAGAAGTCAGTGTGGCTTCACTGCTCACCAGTGGTAACCAAAGGCGTTCAGAGAAGGCCTTTCAAGGCTGGATCATCAATTTAACTATAGGAAAGGACCATCTAAAACTTGGCTATAGTTTTCCATAGTCCTAAGGGTACTTTTTGTTTGGGGCAAGGTTAAATCTCTTGCTTTGTTTCCATCTCTCACCTCCTATCCCTATAATAGGACTCAGAAGCTCCTTCATCCTCTGAGGCGGATGCTGGGTCTAACTCTGGTTCTTATAAAAAGTAAAGAACCGCAGGTGCCTGAGTACAACAGACGGGTAATATGTAAGCTTCTTTTCCCATTGAGATAGGGTCTGGCTTTATGAAGCTAGATCCCATTTTCTTGCTCACCCAGTACTGCAATGTGTCTGGAACTTCCTTGGAGCCAGGAAGCTCACCCAGTCACACCCCTGGGGCGGGTTTGGACAGCAGGCTACTTTCCAACCAGCCATGAGCACTTTAAAGGTCACTTGTACCCCACCCACATCTGTTAGGAGCCAGTGTCTTTGTTCTGGTACTTTTTCATTTCAACAAACTCAGTGGTAATCGACAAGATTTCCGGAACATAAGCACATTATAATGACTTTCGCATTTTATGAAAATAGCTTCACAACAGCATCAGAAAGTTTCTGGACAGGGGATGAGATATGAAGATTTAGATATTTATACTTAGCTTGCGTCCCCATAGCACCTGGAATTCACATATTTGTGTATTTTGGTAACAGACAAGTATCCTCTGAGGTCAGTTTCTGATCTTGAGGCCTCTGGGGATATTAAAGTGAAACCAGAATTCATTTAACATCAGCTGAGGACAGCGTAGACCTCCTGAGGGCAGATCAATGGAAAGACCCTTCCCGCATCCATCTTTCTTATGTTTATGGACAGTATTTCCCATTTCTTGTGTTTTTTTTTTTTTTTTTAAGTAGGCTCCTTGCTCCATGTGGACCCCAACAGAGGACTTGAACTCATGACCCTGAACTGAGCTCAAGAGTCAGATGCTTAACCAACTGAGCCACTCACATCCCTCCATTCATCCTCAAGACAGGAATCCTAAGAAGGCTTTGGAACCCCTGGAGCTCAGGTTCCAAATCAAGGGCAAAAGGAAGGTTAAACCGACTGCTGCTGAAAAGTTCTGTCATACACAGGATTCTCCATTGACAACGTCACCTGCTTCCAACAACCCCTCACAGCTGCAGCACCAGGGGACGTATAAATACATGCAGGAAACTACAAGGCGGCTGCACGTCTGCCTCGAAGCACGTGTCCCTAACGGCCAAGCCCGCCTTCAGGAAACCAGCTGTGTGCATCTGATACAGATGAACATGAGGTATTATATTTACAAAATAACTGGAGACTTAACATTAGGAAGAAAGGAAATAAATTCTTTTTCTCTAAGTTAAGAACACCTGGCCTAATTTTTATTTTTCACACTCACTCAAGGGTTTGGTGGAGGGATTTTTCCCCTTTTTTTGTAGCTACTTAAAAAGCAACAGACACAAAATTATAATTAATGTATGTCATACCTTATTCAACAGTAGCACCCTCAGAATATATGGTTCAGGCTCTGAATCAGTGAAAGAGACAGACTGGAAGTGCTAAAGCCAAAAGCTGAATCGTCATGGGGAGGGAGTAATTTCCCCTTTCAACCCATATGGTAAAACATTAATCTGGCCCAGGGTCTCAGGAGATGCTCTTGGACATGGTAAGCAAGGAAACGCTCTCAGCAAGTTCTTCCTTTTCACTGCACTTGAAAGTCAGAAAAGAAGCCTTGAGGAAGAACTTGCTTCTTGATGACATCGGTTTCACGATGAGCCCTTAAAAATCCAACCCAAACCGGGACCACGGAAGACTGACTGGAACAGAGGCTAGGCAGCAGATGGGCCAGACGAGAACCGGCCTGTGCTGGTACATCCAGATCTTGATCTGCCCTGACCTCGCACTTTAGTAACCACCAAGGCAGGGTAAGAATTAAGTTACAAACAGAGCGCGTTGGCCCTCAGTCAGGGAGAAAAATCTTACAGAACTCCAAATAAATGAGTAAACAAATAAAAATTAAAGAAGAGCATCCAATCTTGGAGATGTCTTGGCAGAAGAGGAAAGGGGCTTTTCTCTCATCAGAAAAAAAAAAAATCCTATCAAGGTATTATCCAAGCCAATTTTCTGAGAAGGGCCTGATAACACTCCTTTGTGGCTGTGCCAGGTAGGTAGGACAAGGAAACCTCGCCCTCCCTCGCTACTCCCTCCGAAAGGCTTCAGAGGAGTCCTGTGTGGATGAAGGTGAACATGGGCTTAGCTGGGGAAATGTGGCTCTCAGAGTCCCACCAGGTGACAGGCTATACATCAACTCTCCAAGGGCATGGCTCATATCCAACTGCTACTCGGCATCATGAGGGCTCTTACAACCCTTTGATTTAGTATTAGTTTGGCTTCTCACAGCTTCTTTTCTTTTGTGGACACCTGCACATGCTTGACCATAAGAACCACAGTGCCAGGTAGCCATGCAACTGCTCACTGATTTTCTGTGAGGTAGGGAGATTTTCTGATAGATTAAATTTTGCCAGCTGCCCATACTTCACTCACTGGGAAATTTATACCCACAGTCCCAAGGATGTCTGGCCAGTGATTCAGAGGCTAGAGAGTCCTAGGGTGCCAGACTCCCTCAGGAACCTTGGAACACTGTACCTGTCATCAATGGAGTCCACCTTCTCCTGGATGCGATCTGAGTTGATGTTTCCATCGCTCACCAGCCTCCGGCCTGTCTCCACGACAGCATTGATCTTCTCCTCATTGGCATCCATGGTGGTCATGAAGTCCTCTTGTTTTTTAATAGCTGCTTCAGCTCCTTCCAAGGTGGTAGGCATTTCAGTATGAGCCAAAACATACTCCTTTTTCAAAGAGAGAAAACCAAAATCACAGCAGGATGAAATATGAAATACAACTCATTTTGAGAATAATGAGAGCACTGTTTCCCATATCCTGGGTTTTTGTGTAACATACTTCATTACACTTGCTTCATTATTCTTAAATAAAATAATCTACTGAATCAGAAAAAAACAGAAGTTGGGAGGGGAAAATACCTAGTGGGACACCATAAGGAACTAAATTTCCTTAAGTGGTTCCATGTGCTAAATTTTTCTCTAAAGTGAGTGAGGACAGTAACCAAAGCTTTGTGCATCAGCCACCAGGGTCCTCTCATATGCTCATGAAGGCAACAGTGACATACTCTTCAAACGCTCTCTTAAAAAGAGAGATTAACAACCCTGATGTTGGCCACCATCTTCAGCTGTTTCTGACTCAAAGTCCCTCTTATACTAGAGCAAGGAAGACAGAACCATTTACTCCTCCATGAAAAAAAAACAAAAAACAAAAAACTCAAGCAAACAAATAAAAAAACCAATCAAACAAAAAAATCCCTCACCGCACCTTTCAAACTGTCAAACTGGATTGCTCTCTCACAGAATATCGCCAATTGACGTGATACCATGAGGACATACTATGAATGTAACAGACCCTCAGAAGCAGCTGAAACAGAAGAGGACTCTGCAGATGAGGAGCTCCCGCAGGGACCCGCAGCTCCCATCCCCTACACTGTGATGGCTTTCAACACTTTAGAAGTCGGGGAAAAGAGCCTCTCAGATACCCTTCTGCCTCCACACAGGGATGCTTTGAAGCAGCGGCCTGCTCTGAAAGGAAGGAAGCAAAGGCAGTGAGGAGAGGTACCTGGTTGTTAAGGAAGGCCTCGGCCTGCTTCGTGTCCCTAAGGAACTGCTGGTAGGCATGTGACTGGGACAGGAGATTCTGCCTGTTCTCCCACATTTTGTGCAGCTCGTTCCACCCGGTGTCCAGGGCCTGCAGCCGCTGCCGCAGAAACATGTACTGGGCGTCGGTCTGTCCCTGGGTGACCATCTCGCCCATGTCCCTCATCTTCTGGTAGTCCTCCTCATAGTTGTCGATCTCGTTTTTGATGTTCTCATGCTGCGTGAGGAGCTTCTCTGCCTCAGTCAGGGTGTTGGGCATGTCCTCAGAGGCGATGGCCGTCTGGGTCCGGGAGAGCCAGGACTGGAAGTCGTCCAGATCCCGCAGGAACTGCTGCAGCTTGCTGGCCTCTCCCAGGGAGGCCTCGCGGTTTTTCAGGGTTGTCTTCATCTCCTCCCACACGTCGCTGATCTCGGCCAGCCGAGACAGGATGGCCTGAGCCTGGTCGGGGTGCTCGGACTCGAGCTTCTCCGCCTCTTTCTGCAGGTCGCTCAGCTTTGCCTCGATGGCCACCAGGTCCCGCTCCATGCCGGTCAGCTTGCGCTGCAGGGCCATGACGCCGGCCAGGTCGTTGCCCAGGTCCTGGGTGGACTCGATGACCTTTGTCTTTTCTCGAATCCAGGATTTGGTTTCATTGCACTCAAGGTGGTAGTTCTGTATGCTCAGGGCAGAGAGAAGAGCGTCCTTCTTCCTGTCGACCAGCTCTCGGAACTGACTCCACCTGTGAGTGCAAGGCCATGGAGAGAGAGTCATGTAAGAGACAGGCTGACAGCCCACGGCTGGACAGTCACATTAACTGCAGTGGTCATTTCCTCTCTCAATCTCTTCTAGGAATACATGCTTTTTGGAAAATCATCTCACTCTGTATATGGATACCAAATATTATCAAAACAGCTCAGGGACACAATATAATCTGAAAAAAGCCAGTCATGAGAGGCACTTGTTCAAAGAGCTCCAATGGAGCTGTGACAGCAGCACATCTGTCCCCCAAAGAGTCAGTTACTTTTCTGTAACTGCATTTCTGCCATGTGCATTTTACTCACCTCTGAACTGCAGCTAATGAACATTTTCCAAACCCAAAACCTGACAGATACCTTCAGAGCCAAGGCCACCACAACCTAGTCAAATGTGTTTATGCAACAGAAAGATGACAAGGGAACAAAGGTCTAACTTGATAATCAGGACTTTCACTGACCAATTAGGTCTAAAACATGCTAAAACCCTGTCCCAGAAAGATTAAGATTAAAAGGGACAGTAGAGGGGCGCCTGGGTGGCGCAGTCGGTTAAGCGTCCGACTTCAGCCAGGTCACGATCTCGCGGTCCGTGAGTTCGAGCCCCGCGTCAGGCTCTGGGCTGATGGCTCAGAGCCTGGAGCCTGTTTCCGATTCTGTGTCTCCCTCTCTCTCTGACCCTCCCCCGTTCATGCTCTGTCTCTCTCTGTCCCAAAAATAAATAAACGTTGAAAAAAAAAAAATTTTTAAAAGGGACAGTAGAGGTGCCACCTTGACACTGTGGCGCTCCACTCTTGGCACAGGCCTCACCTTAACATCTTGACTTCTGATGCTAGGGGCTAGGCTGCCTTGTATGACACCACCCCAAAAGATACTTCTTGCAAAACTAGGGGATGTTGTAAGGCACATGCCAATGCTGTGACATCAGTGCCACAGTATCAGTGAACCTTTGTAGGAAATTCCTGACAGCAAGTCTCAGCAAGTGACCTTGCCCTCCCTGGCCTCACACACTGCTGGCTGCACGCTCACCTTGTGTTGAGTTTGTCCTGCTGGGCTTTGATCTCCTTCTCACTTGGGTGGCCACTGTGCATGAGCTGTCGTGCAATCTGGTTCACCACTGCGACCCGGGAAGCCTGGTTGTTCATTTCAGGCTCAAGGCTCTCAAATCTGGAAAAGCAATTGAACAGGGTAGGTCACCCTCTTGGTCACAAGTGGTGATGGGGGGCGGGTGGTGGCCTCAGCACTGCTGGCAGCTCTTGCACTCACCTGTGCTGGATGACTTCCAGGTCCTCCAGTTTTTCTGGGATCTGCATGTTGTTGAGCCACTGCTCCTTCTCGTCGATCCAGAGCTCACAGGCATCAGCCTCACTGAACATCTTGTACAAGGCCAGGGTGTCCTGCAGTGCCTGCTTCCTCAGCCGCGTCAGCTCTGCCACCTCCTTGTACCGTTCCTCGATGCCTGACAGCCGGCCCCTCACATCTGGAGACTCGGCATGCTCCTGGGGGAGGGCGCTGGCCTGCTCGTGCAGCGTGTCGATGGTGGGCCTATAGTTGGCGATCTCCTCTGCCACGTCCTTGTGTTTCTTGACCAGAGACTGCGTGGAGTACTCGTCATGGCCCACGTCATTGCTGGAGACAATCTTGAGGATGTCCAGCATCCACGCGTCAATGTCGTCGGCGTCTGCCTGGAACTGGTGTAGCAGCGAGGCCTCCTCCAGGCGCTTCTTCCGGATGGCCGAGAGCTGCTCCAGGTTGGCCCACTGCTCCCGGATGTAAAGGATCCGCTCTCGGATCTTCTCTGACCCAAAGTGCTCCTCCGCGATCATGTCTTCACCTTCTTTGATGGCCTGCTCGAAATGGCCACTGCGGCCGCTCATCTCATCCTCGAATGCCCGGTGCTTGCTGAGCAAGCGCATGACGCTGGTCAGGTCCTTCCCATAATCGTCGGAGGACAGGATCTTCTCCTTCTCTCGTATCCAGCCCTCCTCTTCTGCCATCTCCCAGAAGAACTTCCAGAGGCGACGGGACTCTTCCAGTCGAGCCCGGCGTTCGGCTGCCAGCTGGCAGAGTTCTTGGTAACAGAACTCCATGTGGGCCACGCGGTCTCGGATCACCTGAGGGTCACAGGGCTTGTAACCTGTTTAATGTCAAGGAAGGAATGTGGGAGTATGACAGTTTAGCAGAGGTCCCTGTTCGTTCGCAGGCAGTGAGCTATACCCATTCTCTCACCATGAGATTACCAGTTCCATTCTCACTGCAGAGCCAGATTATGAGGCAGGGGCAATGAGAAGTGTCATTTTTTGGCCCAAGTGCAAAGTCATTACTTATGAACCAAAAAAGGCACATAAATTATAAGAAAAAGGGCAGCTACATTTAATTGTTTTGCAAATATAAGGAACACAACCAAATCTTTCCAAACATCCTCTCAACAAGGATATGTACAACCAGATGTGAAAAAGCCATGAGATGCTTAAACAGCCACACCAGGGTGTTGGTATGAATCAAGTGTGGTCTAGGTCAACTCTGATTGCCAAATATCACCATTAAAAACCAAGGAGCACTTGGGTATTTAAGGAAAACACCTGTCCGTTTCAGAAAAGCCAGACAGAGTTAAATAAAGTGTCCATTAGGCTACCCCACTGCATCTTGTGTACCCATGATGTGATAGCAGACAAACCCACTGGGAACCTACAATGGCACAGTAACTCCAGTTACTGGAGGGACAGTGTCCCTGCTGGCACACACCACTTATCTACTTCTATAAAAATGGATCTCTGGTGATGAAGAAGTAATGTCTGCAACAGTCCATCCTCACCTTCCCCGTCTGTTGCGAACTTCTGGGCAGAGGCATTGACGCCTCTCACTCGCTCTGCCTGGATGCCAATGTCCGCTTCAACCAGGGCGTGCTTCTGTAACAGGTCTTCCACACCAAGCAAGTGCTTGCCATAGTCTTGAGACAGTAATAGCACCTGCGTGCCAGAGAAAACAGAGAGGACATCAATGCACACAATCTTGACTTCAGTGTCTTATAATCTTTGGACATGCCGAGAGCCAGCAACCATGCTACACCCTCCCTCCCTGCATCTCAAGGGGAGAAGGACAAGCAATTCGGAGCAGAAAGACAAGCAATTCGGAGCAAAATCAAACTAACCCAGAAGCTTTCATCAGGACAGACATGATAAACTAAAGGTGATTTACCCTGGAATAAGCAGGTCACAACTACACTAAGAACAGAATAGAAAAAAAGGGAGTGGTGGAAAGCGGTATGGCAGGTAACCTGGGGCTCGAAGACTCTATCCAAAAAGATAAGAGATAAAGGTCACAGAGTTATTTCACTTCAAAGTTTAAAGAAATCTCCCAGAAGTTGTGGACCTCTCAAATGGATGTCTGCCTCAGTTAAAAGCTTACTGTTATGCCTCTGAGATACTTCTATCATCAATGGGAGAACAATCTAGTTGAAAGCTTACAAACCACACCTTTAACCAAACAAACACAGAGTCAGGCAGCTTCATGCTTAGAAGGGCCTGAGCAATTTCTTTGGTTTAAGTTCGAATCCATTACCATTTTCTTCTTTTCTTCCATCAGCTCAACTTGGGGGCCTCATGAGACCTCCCCTCCAGATGGAACTTCCACTTCACTCCTACTTCTGAGGGAAATCTCTGGCCCCAAATCTGAACTATAATGTACAACACGATTTATAAAATGAAAAGCATATCCCTGTTAGATTTTATGAACATTTCTACGTTAAAAAGTCAATGCAGACCACACTTGAGAACATAATAAATCTTGGACGATAAGAGGGCAAACTGATGTTATGAGGTGACTCTGCCTTGCCACCAGGGACAGTTCAAGAGGTGAGGCAAAAGACGAAGGCTTATATCCCAGGAAGGAAATCCCCTGCATAAGGTCAAGCTTGGGAACACAGTGTGCTGAGATAAAGGGGGTTTCCCGGGACTGTCTACAAACTGCCCTGTTCTGTTCAAGCTATGAAGCCACGTGCGTTCCAGCTGGGGGACTGCGTGACATGGACGAGCCTTCTACCACTTGCAGCAGAGAACACAAATGGGCGTGGGGATTTGGCACAATGGCAGGTCTCCTCCCGGACGGGAGGCAAGCTTGGAACTCTATGCTCAGGGCTGTCCAGTGAGGAAGGGGAAGCACAAACTGGCAGTGGCAGCCACTCTGAATCCACTCTGTCCTATGATGTGTACACATATTACCACACTTAGTCCTTGCTACAACGGATTGAGGTAGGTGGTCAGTGCGATCTCCACTTAAAAACAAAGAAAGGAGGCTCAAGAAGACTACACAGCTCCAGCACCGACAATCTCAACTGGTTCCCAAACACACTGCCTACCACTCTCCCATGTGCCCACATTATCTTCCCAGGCCCCTCCCCAAACTAGAGCCACTCACACACAGATCAATGAGATGGAAAGCTAGTTCAACTCTCAAAAATCAACAACATTTGATTGACTCGCTACTGTGGAACAGATCTAAATGAAGTCTAAATCACTGCAGCTGACCTCTAACTACAGAACTCATCTTTACACTCCACACGCCATTTAACTCTTAAACTAACAATCTTCCCACGGGTAATGTGGCCCCTCTGTGGCTTCACAGAGAGGGCAGTTAGACCAGTGGCACACTGTACAGCGTGGGTTCCAGAAAAGGGAGGCCCCATTTCATCAGCTCTGGCCTCCTTTCACTCAAGTTCTACCTTCATTTCGTCCATCCAGTCCATAATGTAGAGCATTTCCTGGAATATCTTTTGCAGCCCCAGGTTCATCTCAAGACGCTGCCTCCGGGCCCTGAGCAGTTCCAGCAGGTACTCCCAGAGCCGGATGACATTGTCTTTCCTTGCTGTGATGCGCTTGATGTCGTGGTAGTTCTCCGCCTCAAGCTCCCTGGCCACTGCTACCACCGCCTGCACACGTTCCTCGTATGCGGCGATGTCTGTCTCAATGGCCTCGTGCTTTTTTGTGGCGGCCTCAACAGCAGGAAGGTCAAAACCAAAGTTGTCCTATAGAGAAATGGGAGGAAAAAAAACCCCACAAAATAAAAAAGTCATCCAGCTGGAACAAAGAAACCGAGACGGAGGATGAATCCTGAACACCACCTCTGGTGGTTCTAAGGCCACACTGACTTGAGCCCTGCCAGATGCTGGTCTGTCTCCGCCTTCCTTAGGACACTTACAACACCTTAGTCGAGCTAGGATGCCCTCTCCAAAGCCAATCAGCAACTTCTCATTTTACACTGGAGTCCAAGCTCATATCTAGACCTTTATACTTATGTGACTGGAGCAGGTGACAGTTTGTGTTATGCTAAGTAGAAAAAGAAAGCCACTTTTATTTATTTCATGACTAGTCTAACTGCCTTGAATGTCAGATGGTCAGAGACAGAAGGTAAGAGAAATTTCTAAAAATTATATAAATGTGAGCAGTTCACACTCACTCACTGGCTCTAAACAAACTGCTTGAGCTGTTTTCAAATCTATGAAAAGTTAGATAAACAGAAGACAAAGTATATTAGAAATGATAAACATCCTCTTCATAGGAAGTGAGCAAGAGGACTCGAGTTACTTCAGAATAGTGGGTGTTGATAAGTGGCTGTCCTGCAGTCCTTGGGTATGGTCTACATTTCTAGATGACCCCAGGAGTGGTTTCCCGAAGAAGGTCTAGAGCAGAACCTGAGACACCAGACGCTGGTTTTCGCTCAGCCAGGTCTCCCTCATAGCTGCCTTGCGATCGAATCTGCGGGCGAGCTGTTCCAGTTTCTCCTGTCTGATGAGCTCGTTCCGCAGAGCCAGTTCTCGCTCGTGTTCCGCTTTTTCCAGTCTTTCCCAGGCCTACAGGGGCGAAAAAGAACAGCTTCCTGCAATGTTCAAGGAACTTTCCTTGGCTACAGTCAATGGCTAGTACTTCTCATTAAGACCTGAGAACTTAAAAAGGGACATCCTGTTTCCAGCCTCCCTGACCCTTAAGCCCGGAGAAAAGAAATCGTTTTCTCTCAGTTGAGCCACATGGGAACACTCTCTCCAATCTTTATTTAAAGGTCTGCTATATTTGGAAAACAAAACAGGGCAGATATGGAGAAATATAACTAAATTATAAATCTCTTACTTTGAGAGGAATCAAAGTATCTTCAACAGCTCTGATCACATAAAAAAGACAAATCCTTTTTCTCAGAAAGAAATCATATTATGAATCTCTTATTCACCCCACACTGGGCCATTTGTTATTTTTTTGCTTTGTTTTTTTTGGTTCAACATTTTATTTATTTAACTAATCTTTATGCCCAACGTGGGGCTCAAACTCAACCCCAAGATCAAGAGTGGCACACTCCACCGACTGAACCAGCCAGGCACCTCCCATGCCCTCCCCCTTCTTTGTGTGCCACTTTGTTTTTAATTCACACACCTAGCATTTTTTTTCAAAATCCTCACCAAATGTCCACATTAAATTCATTTCTATGAAATATATCTTACATTAAAAAAAAATGTAAAATAAAATAATCTAAATGTGTACCACTGACCACAGTTCTACATTTTTCAAATTTCTACTTGGAAATAATACCCACCACGAAATTCTATCATTACAGACAAAACAGGCCAATAATAGAAACTTTTGGACAGCTTCTCTGATAGAAACAGCCCAAATCCTAAGCTCAAACCTCCAGAGGTTCATATATATATTCCAGATATATGAAATAAGGTTTCAAATTCTCCCTTCTGCAATTTAAAGATGCTGTAGTTGGGGTGCCTAGGAGGCTCAGTCAGTTGTGTCCAACTTTGGCCTCAGGTCATGATCTCGCAGTTCATGAGTCTGAGCCCTGTGTCAGGCTCTGTGCTAACAGTGTAGAGCCTGGAGCCTGCTTCAGATTCTGGGTTGCCCCCTCTCTCTGCCCCTCCCCCACTCTCTCAAAAAACAAACAAACATTAAAAATATATATAAATAAATAAAGATGGAGTCGATGGCCTTGAACAAATGAGAGTAACAAGGTAAAGAGAATGAACCAAGACCAGTTTGATAATATCTAACATTCCCTCACCAAACTCCAACGGACTAGCCCACCTCAAGTATTTGCTTGACCCCCTGCAAAACCCCAGCCACCACTGTTACTCTTCAACTCAGCAGGCTGGGACAGACCCTTTCAGACTGCCCTCTTAGCAATCAAGACCTAGAACCTGAAGCAATAAAGCAGGTCAAGGCCCTAACAGGACCAGATGGATTGACTGGCTTTACCTTGTTAATGTCAGAGATGAGCTTGCCCTCCCGGGGCATGTAGACCTTCTGATTGTTGGCCCTCATCTTGCTCTGAATAGTAAAAAGCAGCACTTCCAAGTTCCCCTTCTCAGTAAACCTAAGCACAGAAAAAAAAAAAAAAATGCTGTTCCTTCAAGGGGAAAAATTAATTTGCTTTTGGAGAAAAAAACATTTCCCACAGCCACACAATCTTAAAAGCCATTTATCTCTGGTCAGATTTATGTGCAACTCAGGTTAGAGAAAACGCAGTACATTAGTTTTTGGGTATTACAGACCTCAAAAAATGCACCTAACTGTGGAATTTTGGTGGGGTTGGTTGACTGTTGTTACTGAGATTTATATTTGGGGGCATACAATACCAGTCATTAATTACTTCATTCAAGGTTTAGATTATATACATCCCGGATGATGGGCACAGCTGAAAACATTCAGCAAGAATTACTTCAAATGACTACCTACTATAACTTTCAATGGGTTTCAGAGACCGCAGCAAGGAGTTCTCAACAGAGCACGTTTACAGAAAAAGGAATGACTTTCCAACTATAAGAAGGGATAAGGTCCATAATCCTTATCTGACAATTAGAATTTTCAAAAAGAAGTGAAAAATCAAATTTAGGGGAAGTGAAAACTGATCTGAACAGATAGATATAAAACTATATATTATTTGTCTTTACTCAACACAATGTGAGTATTTACACATTTTGCTACACACGTCTCAGTAAGCCTGACAATGGGTTACTGCCTCAGGTCTACTGGGAGTCATATAATAAACAATATCCATGCACTCAGCTGCTTCTCTAAAATCCACATCAAGCATGAGGGTTTGGTATAAGGGACCTGTACTATTTCTTAGGATTCTCATGTATCACATGTATCAGACCAGGGACACAATCCACTGGAAGGGCTCACAGAGGGCATGGTTTGTAATAAAGTTCAGCCACTCAGGGTCAGATGAAAAGGAGTAAGATAGGCCACTGGTGACAGGCATTCATTAAGTGAGGAGATCACACAAGTCAGAAAGCAGGGGTCCATGCTGCAATCATCTCTCTTTCCACACTAATTATAACACATTCCAATCTGCATCTTACTTGGGTGGTTTCTCCACAGTGCGGTAAGTGTTAAAAGCCTGAAGCTGTTGTTGAACCCCAACCAGAGAATTGGCAAATTTGCGATTGTTCAATATAATGATGGTTTGTTCAATCCACTCCAGAAGATCAGAGGCAAGTGACTCATACTTTTCAATCATTTTTTCTGTTTCAATAGCATTGTCAAGCACCTGTAAACAAGAGTTAGAAAAACGGGAAAGATTGTATTGCCAAGTAAGAAAAACGTGATTATAACCCTACATGAGCACATGCACACTTAATGGACTGGCTTTGAAATAGTTCTCTGCTACTCTGGCCCAAGCATTTCAAACTAGAGGAACTATTTGTTAATAGGCACTCAGACTGCAGCCATTATTTGTGAGCAATGACAGCTTAACTCAAGTGTAATTGGTTCTGTAACCTCCCAACCCCCAGGCAAAGGGTTTCAGATTCTGAATGACTCCTGTTGCCTAAGCTCCAAAATTCCTAGAAAAAACGAAAAGGGCTCTATTTTGCTTGGTCCTATCCCATGAATGCCCTTGAATTTTCTGAGGTGTTCTGAAATATATGGTGGTGAACATCAGCCAAATGAGAATTAAGAAGCATAACAGTGAGGCCTTTTCAACCAAATAAATAGGATTTCCTACCCATGACATCAACCGACTCAGATTTCCAATACCCAATCTTCTGATAGGGTGTAGGGGAGGGCTGTCTCTGGGTCTGAGATGCCCCTGAAATCCCTCCCTAAACATTGTAGCTACTCCTACCTCCTGTTACTCTTAGGGACAAAGAGGCTTCCTGCCTACTTCTCTGCCACCAGAAGTGTCCACCACAAGCTGCTGCTGGCTGAACTGATGAGTGCACGGGAGAACAAGGTGCTCGGTGGCAGTACATTAAGACACGAGCTTTAATCATGTCTCACAACTTATAAAATTGGTGTGAACTCACCTTTCCAATTCGTTTTCCTTCAACAGCCAAAGCCTTCATCTTAGAGAAGTAGTGGTAATAAGTCACCACATAAGTGATAATGGACTTCTCATCAGGGTGGTCCACACTGATATCTGTAACCCGGAGAAGATTTCCTCAGTACTCTGCTCAGAGTGCTACCACCCAGGCAGCAGCAACAACCCAGAATGACCATCTAATACTGACACAGGTCATTGTCTCCAATTTTTATACTTAGAGTTCTGCCATCAGTGCAGTAATTACAAGGCTAATGAGGATGAAACCATCTCACTGACTCTTTTATGATATGAATATTCACGAATGCCTTCTACTACTGCAATAAGGACATAAAAGTCTTAAGAGACATGATCCTTTCTCTTCAGGATCCCAAGCCATGAAGAAAACAACATGTACACAAAACAACTAGAGAAAAATGAAGAATACAGTAAGAATTATGTCAGAATTCTTAGCAATGTGGCTACTATCTAGCCACACCACGTTCATCTCCCTGCCCAATTCTACTCCCAAACTGGGTTTGTGCTGCTTGAATCCTCATTTATGCCAATGTCACCTGAATTTCTTCCAATCATTCAGTCTTTGGACATCTTTACCTTGTTGTTACCTGTTATCCAGTTAGTCACCAAATCTGAGTCCAGATGATTCTACTTATGGAGTCTTTACTGTCATTTATGGTTCAGACTCTCATGGTCACATAACCAGATATGAAGCAATAGCTTCCTCATTGGGTTTCCCTACCACCCAAGTCACTTTACACACTGTACCTGGTTGATCTTCCAGAAGCATAGCTGTGAACACTCTTTCTCCTAGCTCAAAATTACTCAAAAGTGCCCTACAATTTACAGAAATAAAGTCTAAGCCCCTTAACCCTCTGCCATAACTTTCCTTCCCTTCATTCCATCTATCCATCGAGTATTTATCAGGCTCCCTATAAGAGCCAACCACTGTTCTAGACATTTCTAATTCTATAGCCTATTATTTATTCTCAGGCATAAGGAGACTCAGGCATAAGGGGGCTATTCAACACCCCCCCCACACACACATTCCACAATTCCTAATACTCCTTCCCTTTACTCACAATATCCCTTTGCCTAAGACATCCTTCCCCACGCCATCACCTTCTTCCTAACCTTCAGCTCCACCTGAAGATACCACCTCAACACGGTTCTTTCTGATCCCTACAGTCAGAATTAGTGTCTCTCTCCTAAGTTCCCTTAAGGACTCTGTTTACATGGACACACAGTCCATTCTCTGCCAGGTATTATAATTCAGTACTCATACACACTTTCTTTGTTTTACAAGACTAAGTCCCCAAGGGTAGGAACCCTGTGTCTTGGTAAGCCTGGTGCTGCTCCACCTCTCAAATTCCTGGTGTGTTGTGTTGCACAAAGTGGGTAGTCAGAAAGTATTCACTAAGAGGGGGAATAAATGCATGAAGATGGCAAGTGTTTGAGGTATGGCAATACAAGTGAAGTATTAAACTCAGGACAGATGGAGAAGAGAACACATAGGATGAATAATACATAGGATAATCAGGCTGCTTTTCAAAATGCATTCACACATGTGCCTTCTATCTTCCTGGAGCCCCTGTGTGAGGCAGGATTGTTTCTCTTACTTTTAAGATGAGAATACTAGGGCACAGGGCAAGAAAGCTCCCTGCCAGTGTCACCGAGGCAACTGATGGCAATGGGGGCCAGCAGAGCAGCTACTGTTTCCCCCCCAGAGTCCCTGTGGCCAACTCTGCATCTGGCTCAGCCCCATTCAAGTATGCCCCAAAGAGAGAGAAATGGATGAAGGCCAGAAAAAAAATGCTGGTTCTGTACACAATACAATAAACACAAAATGTCAACATGACTGGGAAGATGTGAGCAGGCAAAAACCTTGTGGTTTTGTAACTAAACTGCAATCTTATCTTAGCTGATGCTCTCTGGGGCACTCAACAACTAACAATAGCTAAGAACAACTAATAATCAAGATCAAACCGGACAAGTGACATCAACTGCCTTTTTTTAGCTCCTTGTCTTGTGATCTGGGAAACATCAATCCCCTTTTCCATACTGGGAAGTGATTAGAAAGATTAACTAATGAGCAAGTTATTTAAAAAATATCTGTCATAGTGGTAGGAAAAAAAAGGTTATTTAGCAAAGCACAAAGAGCTACAGCTGAAGAAGAATGTCTTCCCATAGTTAAAGTAGGGGTTAAGAAGGAAGATTAATCACAGCCCAAGGAATTTTAGTTTTCTGTTTATATTAAGAAATCATTTAATGGGTTAGCACAAAGATAATTTTATCTCCACTTCCTGTATAGTGAATTTATCAGTGAATCTGATGCACTGGAAAGAGCAAGCCTGCTTGGCAGCCTCATGACCTCAATCTGTCCTTGGGGAGTTCAACTTCCTGTTCTATATTTATAAGAACTTTAAACTTTCACTCACAGCTTTCTCTGTAATATCTGCTCGCAGCTGAGAGCCATGATCTGAAGAGCTCCAGCACTACAAACAAATCCTCTTATGTTTCAAATGCTTTTCAAAATAAGAAAAAGTACCTATGACAGTTCACGCTAAAATCCTACAATTAGGATTCTGTGTGAACTAAGGGAGTTATGGCCTGAGGGAATGCCCCACACCAGTCGACTCCAAGTCACCTGCAGTCAGTCTCTGGGGTCCTGCTGCAGGAACTGAGAGTGGAGACAGTGGTTTCAGGCAGAAGCGGTCAGCCGTAAGAAGGGACTAAGTCTTAACACTTCTTCCATTCACATGTTCCCCTTCCTGATCCACCTTCTTCACCTAAGTTGTTCTTGCTCACAGCAAACACTGAACAGCCTCCTAGGAGGCACCTTCCCCACCCCCCACCCCTAGTCTTGCACCCATTCATCCCCCATGGCTGCTTGCCACCTTGGGATGAAAGTAGTCAACAAACATTTGCTGAGAGTCTATGGCAGGTTCTCTTCCTTGAGCACAGCTTCTAAGAACTTCCAGTGACTGCTGAATAACCTCTAAAAATTTTAGCCTGTAGAGCCCTGACCCACCTTTCCAGTGGTAGTTCCTATTATTATTCTAAACACCATTCCCAATGAACTGTTAGTCCCCAAACACACCTTCCTAGTTCCTGGTTCCACACCTCTGCTCACACAAGCACCTCTGCCTAGCAAGCCCTCCCTTCCCATCATGTTTAAACCACACTCATCTTTCAAGGCCTTTTTAAACAGAATCCTTTGCACAAATCCTCAAGTAATTCCCACCCCAAAATTAAGCTCCTCTTCCTTCAATAATTCCCAAAGCACACTACACAAATAAAACAAATTGACAGAAAGCAGATTTTATATAAGCCCCCCAATACCATCCTACCTTTCATCCCTCACGTCCTTACCTTCTGGATCCAACAGTTTAGTGAGGCCAAGGTGCTGCTCTGCCAGATTAAACGCATTCTGCAGATTGTAGTGTGCATTGGATTTCTTTAGTTTGTCGAAATCTATCAGGTCAGGCCTATGCAGAACAACAGTGGAACATGACAAAAACTATGGCTTGAAAACACATGTGACCAATGAGACGCGATCATTACTCCAAAAGCTGTAGAAATCACCCCTTAGAGTAAAACTCTATAATATTATTTAATCATCAAACAATGAAATCTGATTTTTGAATAAACACTTCAAAGTTTATTAAGACAGCTGAAGATAGATAATGGGCAAACTTGTCTGTTTGGGAGAATTTACATATTCTCTCACATTTTCCTCACATGGAATGCAGAATTCTCACCGTGGTGCAACATCTAAGGCAATGGATATGAGGATCAAAAGTCACCCAGATCTGCTAACAGAAGAGTGTCAACATTCTACCCCCAAATCGTTAGCATGATTCCTAAGGATCTGACTTACCGGTGTTTGTGTATCAGGGCATTGAAGGCCATGCCGTCCCTCCAGCTGGTGGTGAAATTGTGAATGTTGACGTTCGGGTACCTAGCAGAGACCAAGCACAAGAGAAAAATCAACAGAATTACTAAATAAAGATTTACAATTTCGTGAAATGCAGTGTTTAAGAAAAAGTTTGTAAGCACTGTAAAAATGTTGAGGCAGTAAATGTCAAAAGGACAATTAAGTCAGAGCAAACACTGTTTCAACTTCAGCATGCTATAAAATAAAAAAATACACATCCACATGGCTTTTCTTTCTTGGTAAGTAAACTGGCCAAAAGACTGTGAACTGTGTCCTAGATTTAAAAACGACACTTAAAGAGGAAAAAATGACCACAACCCAGATGCCTACAGGCCTCTCTGCTTTCACTGGCCTTCTACTCTGTCAGCAAAGATATCAGGAGTCTGCAGTCACTGAGATCTGAATTCACAAGCTACTTGGGGAGAGGAAGCAGCTGGGATTCACATGACACTTGGCTTTCTTGCTTATTATCACTGACTTGAATAAAGTCTTATAAACCAAGTATCTCCCTGAAAAACTTCCCTATGTTTGAGACCTACCCCTCATCACTGAGCTATTCTGTACCATACTGCACATTACTAACTTTGTATCTGTGGTTGACTAAAGGTTTATAACTAAGCTGATGCCCTTATTAGACATATACTCTTGATGGGCTCCATGCTTACTGTTAATTGATCATGTCCATTAGAGTTATAACTGTCCTCAAAGTAGTTCTGACAAAAACTCCAGTTAACCAAAATCGGTGCTAAGTATCATGAATCCTAGCAATTTTAGTGAGCAACACAACAGGGGCAGTGCTCTAAAAGTATTTTCACTAAAATTTCACTAAGGAAAACTGAGATAATGTATAAGGACTACTCTTAAGTTTATCACACAAAGCTCTCCAACAGCAGCGAAAATTAAAGGGAGGAGAAAACCCACAGTTGCTTTTTAAAAATATCATGGATGTGTTTCCTAAACATGGTTTCTTGATTTTAAAATTCAAGATATACTGCTCTCTGGAGCGTCTTTAACAAAGAGGGGGAAAGTGACTACAGAAATGACAGGTCCAGAATATAAATCAGAACTCCTTCCATGTTGTGAGCTAGCTAAAATGTCAGCTATCAACTGCTTATGAGTTAATAAGATTTCTCAATGGAAGCAGTGGAAGAGATACTTGTCAACACCTCAGAAGTGATGACTGCAGCGGAACCTTGTCCTGGGCGCAGTGGCCCCTGATCCCCTGTGAGTTCACACTCACCCAGCTGTCTTCATCTGGCACCACAACAGCAATGCATCCTTGGCAGATTTCTTCTCTTTGTTGTCTTCAGTTTCTACACTGATATCCTGGATCTGAGATTTACAAAGAAGTATTAGTCAAATAGATGGGTCAAGCTGTCCACGACTGCCAGAGAAGAACAGGTCTTATACATGAAGAGTAAACTTCAGATCACAATCCAGTCCTGCAGATTTACTTACTGTGCCAAAGAAAACTGCTTTCTTCACACTTCACCTAACAGAAACACCAACTAGGTTTTCTACTTTGCATGGAGGTAAGAAGTGAAGACTACTTAACCTGCATGACTTCTCAGAACTATCCACTGGGAGTCACTTCTAACCTCTAGGTAGCCCATCTTTCCAACTACAAGCTAGCACAGTGGTTCACATTGTAAATAACTTGAACCTTGTCAGATCCCAGAAAAATACCTGGTTCAGTTTTTTATAACTAATTATTTTTTCACACTAGGGTGTGTGTCACTCATAGATGAGGATAGTCTATATTCCTTTTCCTAAAAGGTGACCCAAATTCTTGGAGAAAGGACACATTTACACTCTGTGCTTCTATAGTCTGTGCTATGGTCTGAATGTCTATGACTCCTGCAAATTCTTACACTGAAATCCTAACTCCCAAAGGTGATAGTATTAGGAGATGGGGCCCTTGGGAGGTGCCTAGGTCATGAGGATGGGATCCTCGTGAACAGGATTAGTGCCTTATAAGAGAGGCTCCAGAGAGGTCCTTAGCATCTTCCACAATGTTAGGACACAGGGAGAAGTTTGTGATCCAGAACAGGGCCCTCACCAGACCATGCTGGCTTGATCTCAGACTTCACCTCCAGAACTGCGGGAAATGAATTTCTATTGTTTGTAAGCTACCGTGTTTGTGGTATTTTGTGATAGCAGTCCAAATGGACCAAGACAGTCTGCATTCATAAGCTGCTCACTGGCATCATAAACGCAACAGTATACACAGAGCTTGGTCTACTGGCACCAACATCAGACAGCCTAGGTCTAAAACTAGGTTCCACCACCAACTGTGTGTCACTGGGCAAGTTCCTTAGCTTCCCATCTGAGGAGTGGCAACAGCAACAGTGGCTGTCTCACAGCACTGTTGTGCACTTAAATGAAGAAAGAATATCAAGTGCTGACTTCATAATAAAGATCCATAAATGATAGCTCTTTAGATTAGGGGCTATCTACCAGTTATGTGATTTTAGAAAAATGCTCTATATACCCTCTGTCTTTAGGTTCTTGCCTATGATACTACAATGTGGGATGGTGGGTGGGGGTAAATGGTGGTGGCCTAGCAGGCCCTCCATTATCTTTTAGCTCTAACCATTCCAAGTTTCCCTGCCTTCGTCCCTGTTAAAGGTCTTCCCATTTAATCTAGAGATGTGCCCCAGCATTCTTTTTGGAAAAGAGACAGGAGGAGGATAAAATATATAAATAAGAGATGAAAAAGTCAGAAACTTTCAACTAGGAAAAACACCTACAAATTGAAATAATTATACTTCTAAAAAAAATATCCTTTTTTAACTGTGGTAAGTATGTGAGGTGAGTCTGCATAAGCTCCAAACGTTATCATTAGGATCCTGAGTTCTTATGCACAAAGTAAATGTGAAAGAACAACCTTACTCAAGGGATAAGACACAGATTCATCAGGACAGACAGGTGGAATCCCACACACTAACCCCTGTCAACCTCCTTATGCTTCAGGGTGAAGAAGGGAGTCTATTTCCACACTTGCTCATTTAGAAAAATGGATACCTACTATGCACAGACAGGCCAGGCCATGTCCTGGGAGTTCTGGGGCCACACACACACAGACACACACAAAGAAGGAATGTAAGATGAGGCTGTATATTCAGAAACTGGGAGAAAGAGATTTCTGTAGAACGTGGGGAAACTTCACAGAGGAGGCAGAAAGCAAGCTGGGCCTTGGCTGACGCAGAATCAATACATATTTGTGAAATGGGTGATGATTCAATAAGCCTGTTGGAGGAAGCTAGGTCATGTAAGACACTAACACTGCAGGCCATGCAGTGACATCATCAGCCTAAATTTCTTGCCTCAAAAAAAAGAGAGAAAGTATGTATCAGCATTTACAAGTTCAATTACAGAAAAAGGCAAGCTGTCAGGAAGCTAATTAATCGATGACTTAACCCCATTCATGCTGAGAATCCTGGAAAGGGCTGCGTGTGCCAGCTCACCAACGTGGGCAATGACCCGATGTGAAGAGAGGCCACCATCAGGATGCCCCTCCACGCTCTGATTCCTACAGGCCAAAGGCAACAGAAACAGAACATTTTACTCTACAAAACTGAGGTGAGGTTCAAGGAGGGTGCTGTTAATATCACCTCTGTTGGCCTGAGAATGAGAGCTATTATTAGTGAATTTAATGGTATTCATTTTCAAGTCATTCAGGAACTAAATGACAGAAACCTACATGAGAATTGTTTGCAAAATAGTCTTTGGTTGTTGTAATTAACTCCATTCATGATGTCTTCTTCAACAGTGGTCCCTCCTTAAACCCACCTAAATAGAATAGTTGGGAGTGTGGACAGGGGAATCTGAATTGGTAAAAAGCTTTCCCAAGGAGTCAGATGATCAGCCAGACTTGGGAACCACCATTCAGGGAGTTTCTTTGGATAGCTCTTTTTGCTCCCACCTCCTCCTCCCACATACACACCCAAAACACTGCTAACTCAAACCCACTCCCAGTGGAAATGAGAAAGAAAACAACTGGTTACCCGCTGACTTCAGAATTTTAGGAAGAATATAAAGAGAGCTATAATTTGATTTCTGGCTTTGCCCTTTTTTGGTGAGATTTTTATTTAGCTAGAAAAATCAATCAGACTTTATATCAAAGGGGTGGAACAGGAAGGAAAGGCACAGAGAACACAGCCACCCAGGAGACAGGATTGTTAGGACATTTGTTTGCAGAGTAACCTGACGCTTTGGTTAAGAAGTGTTTCCTGCATTTCAAATTCTAATTGAAAAGCAAGAGCATGAAGCATTGCCTGGAGAAAGAACCAGTAATCAGGCCAGAGGTGCTCCACAGTGCTGAAATTCTGAGCTCTCTCCTAAAGGGTCACAAGTATGCATTGCAGCCCTGACTGGCCTTGTAATCCTGGATAAAGCTCCTCCCTTTCCTCACAAAGAAACTGGACAGAACGACCTTGAGAGTTCCTTCTGGTTTAGACATCTATACTTAGAACCTTCCCCTCAAGTATATCAAACCCAAAGAATTGTCATCGATTCAAACAAGCGTAAGGTTTTTGCATATTTCCCCTGAAAATGGCTTCCTCACATCCAAAGGAGAATGAGAAAGTGAAAACAGAGTGCACACACATATCATAATCCTAAACAACTTCTCCTGAATATATTCCATGACACGTGCTACAATCTGGTGAAGTTCAGATAGTCTGCTACCAGTATCCCAGCATCAACCACATCCTTCTTATCATTGCTCCTGAAAGACTAGTGGCAGACACCAGACATTTAGAGGGGGTACCAGTGAAACGATGGGTGGGGATGTAGCCCAGAAACTCCCTTATCTGACAAGAGAACCAAGACTTTCAGGGGCTAGCAAGACTGAGGGAGGATGTGGTAGCTGCAATGTGCCTATGGGTGTGGGACCCAGTGCTCCGCACACCTGACTTGGGGATGCCATTTCCACAAGGATGCTCCTAGCCAGGGAGAAGGCAGAACCTTGGGGGCCAAGCCCTTACCTGGAAGCGCAGGATGATGGTCCAGATGAGGCCGAGGGTCAGCCGGTGGTTCCCATCCACGATGTCATGGGACCCCATGTTCTCAAGATGGACTCTCTGCTCCTTCAGGAACTGAAGGGCCTTGTCCACATTCTCCAGACAGTGGATACGCATTCGTCCCTTGGTGGGTTTAGGCTAGAAACAGGAGAGCAGAAAATAGAAACAGATCATGTAATGGGGCAGAGACAGGCTCAGCTCAGAGCTACTGCCCAGAGTTCACACATGCCTGCTCATGCAGCACTCTTCTACCCAAACCAAAACATTAAAAACATGTATACTCAGTACAAGGACAGTATCTACCTAACATCCTTATGAGAGAGAAGTTTACTTAACGGATGGTGATCACTCTTCAGAGGTTTAATTATGCAAGTGACACAATTTACAAATGAGCAAAGAAGCTGGAAGGTTAGAGAGAAAGGAACCCCATTTCCATCAAGGATTTCAGAGCTACTGCTGCCACCCACACAGTTTTCTGCAGATGCAGGGCAAAACACTCGATGATTTTTCTGACTGCTTTCAATGTAAAAGTAGGTTTGCTACCTGCAGGTTTGGGCTGTTTCCTAAGGCTGGCTCAAAATGAAAAGGGGATACACCACCAAATGAGAATTTCCAAGTGGCAGTTTTGTGAGAGTGATGCAAAGGGCTGAGAAAAAGGGTGTGACCCCCTGAGGATAAAGGAAAAGAAAACGAGAGAGTAGTTTAATGTGAATACCTCAATGTCTCTTTTTTTACTCAGTTATATCTAATCCAAGAGGCCCTGGGGAGGTGAACATTTTAAATAAGTAAAACAAAAGACAAAGGCACACATACAGGAAATTCTCTGTGCGCCTCTGTCCTCTATGGGGACTAGAGCAAGCTCATGCCTCCACCGCCTGGCTCTGTCCCTCCCCTCCTATTTCCCAGCACAGCCCCCTCTAGCACAGGCAGCACCTCAGACTGACACTTCCTTTCACGTCCTGAGGCCTCTCCCTCTCATCTCTTTTCAATGACTGTGCACCTGACTAGTAAGACCTGGGTCCGCTGATGCATGCTGTTTCAGTCCCAAAGTGGCCTGCAGAGCAATGAGGACAGGACCATTCTACTAAGTGCAGTACAGTCTCCCAAGTGTGCCTCAAAGGGGACAGAAGAGGTCATTTCCTAACTGAGGGTGAGAGGAACAGTGTGGATGGAATCAGAAGGAGCTAAAGAGATGGGGAAGGAGTAGACTGGGGGGCTGTTGGTATCTTCCCAGGCTCCATCAGGTATAACCACTGTTCTTTCAGACTTTATTTTAAAAAACTCAATCGCAAATACACAGGCCTTCCAAGCCTCTACTCTCTCTCTATAAAATCTCAGTGGAACCTGTGCTCCTTTCCACATGAATGTATATACAAAGTGTGAGTGGGGGAGAATGGTGATAAAGGTCCACTTCCCAACAGGTTGATCAAGTCTAATGCCACCTCACAGGGACCCCATGTGGATGTGACTTGCCATGCCAGATGAGCTTTGGATGGTTCACTAGAGACCCAGATGCAACTTAAGTCCCTGAAAAGCACCAGCCATTGGAAACACCAGGGCATGAGACAAAGGAAGGAACTAGAAGAAAAAATTCAGACAAACCTCTTCAGGTAAAATGGTCAGACTCCTTCAAATGGTTAAAAAATAAACAAACCTTATGAACTTCCAAAACCCAGGAAAAAGAAAAAAAAAAAAAAAG